TCATAATATACCTTCACCTGCAGAGTTAGTTTTTAATCGCAAAATTAGAGGTATATTACCTGTTCACAAGAACTTTTTAAAGAATAATCAAGTGGATTACAATCAATATCAATCACACTTAAATAAAAGGCAAATCCAACAAAAAGTTTATTACAATCAACACTCCAAAACTTTACCAGAATTGTTTATTAATGATAATGTTATGATTTGGTTAAAGGAGGAATGGAAACCTGGTAAAGTTGTGGAAATTGATAAAAATAGACCCAGGTCATACCTGGTAAAAGTAAATTCTAGTAATAGACTTTATTATAGAAATAGAAAATTATTGAAAAAAATGACTGTTAATAATTTTAAGAACAATAATGACGAACTTTTTGAGGAATTGTTAGACCGATATCTTAATAATAATACTGTCTCAAACCCAAAAGATAATATAGACAATAGTCAAGATCAACAAGAAAGGGGACGAGATAGTGTTATTATACAAGAATCACGCTGTAGGGTTGGTGATAGAAATAGTGTAGCTTTGGAAAGAGGAAAGGAAGAAACGCGAAAATCTGGAAGAAAAACTGCTAAGCCCAGATACCTAGCAGACTACACTACCTAGGCGCTTTTCTTTCTGTCTTCTTATTAAAAAATAAAAATAAGTTGTGTTATTTAAAATCAATATAGGAGGGGGATGTTGTATACTTTTGGAATACAGTTTGTAGTATAGTTGGTTGCCTAATGACATTAATAAGTGAGTGCTGCCAACACAATAAAAACAGAGTGCTTATTACAAAATGGTGTTTGTCTGTATTACAATTGTTTAAGTTATAATTAGATTAATAATAAATAGTGAATTGAACTACAATGTGTTTTAATAAACATAACAGATAATTTTCTTAGATAGAAGGTTTCTATGAAAGTTATCCGCCAAATAAGCTAACTTAATTAAGATTAATCTAACGATTGTAAAACCGGCTCTAACTCCTTAAAGTCTATGGGATAAAGGTCAAATGAACTACCTACTTATGTTCTGTGAAGAAACATAACCTACATTTTTATAAACAAGCTTGTGTATTTTGTTACAGGGAATTTTTACTTATTGTTATTGTGATATTCGTTATTGTTATATTATATTGTTCTATTTTTTCTTGTTATATTTGTTCTTGTTATACATTTGTATTTGTGCTTTTTAATAGACATGAAGTCCTGTGTTGTGCCAAAATGTAACCAGCAAAGCTATCGTTCCGGCATTAAAATTAAGCGGTCCATGTTTAAAGTGCTAACAAATAAGGAGCGGTTAAAAACATGGCAATGTGCAATAAAAAACATATTATTGACACCTTCACATTTTGTATGATTATTATATAATTAAGCACATCGTGTTGGTGAAATATATATTATTTTAAATAAACAATCAACCCATCCCCGCCAAGACAATAAAAAAATCGGTTATTAATAAATTAGCCAGAATATTGGTTGGTTAGTTTGTTGTGTTACTAGAAATTTTGGTTTTCATATTAGCCAAATTGAATTGGATAGTTTACAAATTATCCAGCTATTCCTAAATAATTTTAAGTAAATTAGCCAAGACCCTTGGTTGGTTTACAAACTAGCCGCTAATTTAGTTAGAAATAGGTTTTCAATTAAAATAGCTGACAGTTTGGCTAGTTTATAAACTACCCAGCTACTTAATAAACTATCCATGTTTACACATTAGCCGTAACATATATATGATATACGTATGTATTTTATACATTAACATGTTTGGTCTGGGCATGTGACGGCCGAGGACTTTGTGCATATAGTATAGACTTTGTTGTCCTATTTTGTTAACGTAAATTATCCGAAACAAACTCACAAATATTAAATTTTTGAAAATGTAAACAAAACATAGAAAAAGAATTTAAAAAGTTAGGTTGTGGTTATGCAGTAGTTCCACATTTAACTAAGTAGTAGTTTAATTGACTTTACCCCTTCGATCTTAGCGCCACCTAGCGGCTTGGCACGTTAAGGAAGCCACCTCGAAGCTTAAAGTTGCAAGACCTGTATATAAGACCGTGCCTTTGCCACACACCAAAGAAGCAAAACCGAAATAGGGCGAAAGGAAACAGCCGAAGGTACCCGAACAAGTCTGAGATGCTCTGGATCACGTCGTTGCCAACTTTAAATAAACAAAAACGTTTCTAACTTCACATTTATTATTATGTTTTTAAATCTACATATATGAAACGGGTTTTTTGAATGAAATTAGCGAAATTTTTTTCTGTTATTCGCAGAAATATGCTCCGGTGTTTTAATTAACCCATTGCCCATTTCTAAAAGCATACGCGTAATTAGGTAAATTGCGGGGTGGGGGAAGCCCTAGGTTTGGTCTAGGGGGGAAGCCAGTTTTTCAACGGACATAGGAAGAGATGCTGTCAAATTTTGTTCGTATTGGAAAGTGCTGTAAAAAGTGAAAAAAAACAAAGTTAGGTAAGCAAAAAGTGATTATTAATTCTTCGCATGTTTGTTCAGTTATTAAAAACAAGTTTTAAGAATCTAATTGGTTTTTACGGGCTTTATAAAATCAGCTGTTTTATAAAGCCAGTGGCTTTAAGCCACGCCCATCGTCTAAAAACAAGCAACAATTCTTAAAATTGCTAGGTACAATTAAATGATTTTTATATTATTATATCTAACTTTTTTAATAAACTTTTAGGCAAACAAGCAACAGGAATCCAAAAAGGAGATCAAGAGCTTAAGGATTTCATCTTCAAAATAGGAGCCACAAGCAGTCCGAGGAACTTTCAGGATCCGGTGAGAAATTTTTTATTTTGACTTGTAATTCTTATTAGTTTGTCAAAATAATGTCAATCATAAATGTTTTATCTGGGGTCAATATAATAAATAATTAGTATTTTTCTATAAAAAATGTTTTTCTTTAAACAATATAAATTAATATTACTTAAATAAATTTAAAATTTTAGCTTATTTCATTTCATTTCATTAGTTATTTCAAAAATCATATAAGGCTTAATATTGTAAAATTTGTTTAATATTAGTTTTATATTGTTTAACATTGTAAAATCTGTTTTATATTGTTTAATACTAGTTGAATATTGTGTAATATTGTAAAATTTATCTTATACTGTTTAATATTAGTGGTTTGTTGTAAAATCTGTTTTACATTAATTTTATATTTTTTAAAATTTGTCATATATTGTTTAATACTAGTTTTATATTGTTTAATACTAATTTTATATTGTTTAATATTGTAAAATTTATCTTATACTGTTTAATATTAGTTTACTTATTAAATTTTATTTATAAAAACTTTCTAGTTTTATTTATTCTTATATTAAATGCATTATACCTGTACATTACATTTAAAATTCCCGCCTAAAGAAAGAAAAAATAATCAGCGCCATCTATGCATTTTTATCTAAAACATAATAGACATGAAGCTCGTACGTAACATTATGTTGTGTAAGTTGGTAGCCTTGTGACCTGTGTCAAGCGCATCTCAGACTTTCGGGCGATTATTGTGTTGCCAACTTTTAACCAGGAACTTTTGCTTCTTTGGTGTTCTTTGCCACATACCATCTATCGGGGAAACCCAGCAAATTCGCTAAAGGCTTTGTTAGTAATCTATTTTGTTTGCAGCTAAGATTTATTACAAATCAAATTTTGCATGTTAAAAAATCACCATATAGAAAAGAGAATTTTAAGGAAAGTCTTTAGATTTTAAAAAATCACTTAATCTATAGTGAAATTTCACATTCGGAAATTAATTTTACTAAGATAATCAATAAAATTAGGTACTAATCAAAATTTGCTATTTGAAAATGTACAAATCATTATTTATTTTATACAACTTATCATTTTAATCATGTACACTGTTAAATTTTTTTGTAAAATTACAATTGTTTTGCAAAACAAAGGATGAGTAAAATTACAAATCAGTGTATACCAATACAAAATTATAATACAATTTGAGTAATCTTCCAAGACATGTTAAGAAATCTACTAAGATTTGTAATTTTACACTTTATATGTATAAATCCTACACGCATTGTAAATTTACTAAACAGTTTGACAGTTTCTAATAAAAAGCATCTCAGATTCACAAACGTTGTTTGTAATTTGATTTGCTATAACGTTATGTAAAATGCATAGTATGTACCGATTGCGGCAATCACGTGATGTTCTTACATCTCGCCTCGGTTGACTTAGGTGGACAGTATATAAGCTCAGTTGTCTTTCGTTTTTTGTGCGTTCCAATACACCAAATTGCCCGACATTGATAAGACCCAAAATAGGTATATCTGCAGACATGTCTACTAGACATATAGCTAGACAGTGTCTAGCTATATGTCGGTATTTGAAGTTTCTTGAAGAAACTAAGAAAATTGCAGGTTTTTTTTTTTCGTAGTATAATTACAATATCATGGTATGATTCGTAAATTACTAAATATTTTTAGTGTAATTTGTTGTAAAAAATAACAATATTTGTACTGTAATATTGCGAAACGAATTTTCTTCAGTTCAGTAAAATTGTAAAATATATTTTGTAATTTTCTTAAACTGAGATTAAATTAATTGAATAGTATAATTAAAATACACCATTTTAAAATATTTAGTATTTTTTTAGCAAAATTACAATATTACTGAACAAATGTTTAATAAATGCAAACAAACGTTTTGTAATTTTCCCAAATTGAGTTGTAATGAATCGTGTACATGTAGTGAATTTACAAAACTGAGTTTTATTATTACTATATTGTGGTGCGTAAAAACTTAATGAACATGTTTAGTAAAATTACAATAGAAATTTTTAACAGTGTGGTTTTTAAATGCATTTATGTATACTTAAAAAAAAAATTTACACAATATTTGCATAATTTGGGTGTAATCTTTTTTATTTGACTATTTAAACACAAATAAAAATTTATTCAACTAATTATGGAATCTCCATAATATAAAAATACCATGATGACGTATATTTCCAAATACTTGTTGATGAAAGTGATGTAATGCTACAGGTAAAAGGCGTCGAGGCGCTCCCTTGTTGTCGCATGCCTCTCCCATATTGTAATGTCTAGTACAGTGGCTTATACAAAATTAAATTATTTTTTTTATTTTGTAGCTCAGGGTTGGTTGGTATTTGCAGAATATTAAGTACCTACTTATGTCTAATATGTATATTTAACCTTAACTTTGTTAAGTATATACAGGGTGAGTCATTTCCAAATCTTTAGATAATTCTCGTGTGCTTGCATGCATAATTTCATTATTTCCACCTGTGAATGTTGCTCGACGAACTCTTTTTTTCGGTTGAACACTCCCGTTTGTAGTAAACTGCTTGACTGTACGGTGAAACAAAGTACGTACGTGATCGTGATCGAATTTTATCCGGAAAACGCTGAGCGTAGATATTAACAGCATCATCAAGATTCCTGCCTGCTTCTCCATAAAACAAAATCATTTCTATTTTTTCTTCCACTGTTAAAAATCCACTATGAACAACTGCTTAACGAAAGGAGGTCTTTTTGTTTGCAAATTAATCTTCGAACTAAATTGATTAAATAATGCTAAACTATGTATAAATAGTTTCTTTATACCTCAATAATAATTATTATTTATAACTAAATGCCATTTTTTATACCTCAATTATGATTAAATTAATTAATTAACAAAATAATGTTTTTTTTACCTTAAATGAGGTATTTTTATTAAAAACAGTACAATAATCCTTTAAATTAAAGGATTTAATGCTGGCAGGTAAAAAGTGACCATGGTGCGCAATTGATAATTATCACCGAATGAAATAATGTATAAAACTTAAAAAAAATTAGATTTAATTTAATAAGATAATTATTACCAAAAAAAGTGATATTTTAAATACTCATAGGCAAAATAATCGATCCACACAAATTTTCGATGAATTTCAATCGCAAATAACTTTTTTATTTGATGTCGGATTTAAACGAATATTAAGAATATTGTAGATAAATTAATGGACCATCGATCACATTTTAAAAAATTACTAAAAAATAGACGTACGTTTATAATATACAGGTTTAAACAAAAAGATGTTTTTTACCATAAGTTAAGACACTCTGTAGAGTGACAAAATCGTATATTGTTCTAAATTAAGTTTTATTTATCAAGTCACATCTATTCTTAACAGTTTTGTTTTTGGTTCACCTCGATATATTTATTTTTGTGGAAAATGTGGATTTTTTAAAAAACATTGCAATTTCCAATATTTTTCTGTATGAAGAACTAAGGTTGCTATGGTCCATCCATAGGCTATGGAGAATGACAGTGACAGTTTTGTTGAATCATCCCATACTTGGACATGTCATACACGGCTTTCAAAAGCTATCAAATTGTTTTTTGCAAATTAATGTTTAAATTTTGAGGTGTCTTCTTACTTTAAAAAATAGATATGTCTCCGACTGATGTTTCCATTAATTTAATCCAGGATGGACGGTCACAGTATTACGTGGCAAGTGTTTTAAACGTCACAAGAAGTAAAGTACAAAGGGCAACATCAGTTGGAGACATTTTTAAAAGTAAGAAGACACCTTAAAATTAACACATTAATATACAAAAAACTATTTGATAGCTTTTAAAAGCTGTATATCACATGTCCAAGTATGGGATGATTCAACAAAACTGTCACTGTCATCCTCCATAGGCTATGGATGGACCATAGCAACCTTCCCATACAGCACACCAAATCACAATTACGATGTGTTCGCATTGTGACGATGTATCTAGATGCAGACACAAGGTTACACAATTCTACGATGTAAACGTGCTACGTTTACACATGGTATACACACACGTATGCACAATGGTTAAACGTCCGCCTCACAATGTAGCCACAATACCACATTAACATATACACAAAGTATGTGATCCACGGTGTGTTATCGGATGCACAGTAGCTGTGTATTGTGCTTAAACTCTGCTTACACATGGCATTTGTCTCACTCGAATTGAACGTAAATATACTATTCTTTGTATATGTAGCTCTGTCGCCCCGTGTATACACCCTGTCCAAAAATACTTTTGATGAGCTACTAAATAAGTTTTGCCGCTTGACTTTTCGTTCTCAAAACAGGTATTTTTTTAAAATTCATTAATATTATGTTTTTTGAGAATGATAGGTCGGACGGCGAAACTTTTATTTTCCTGAAGTACTCATTAAAGTTGCTTTAAAATTGTTATTTTTTTCGTTTCATATCTTATAATATATACTTACTATTATGGAATGCTTTTAATTGGTGCCACAAAAAACAGAAGTAGAAAAACACAGGAAAATGACAGAACTTTTACAAGAAGATTAAAATATATTAAAAACTGAAATATACATTACACAGTAAAAACGCAAATATATATTATATATAATTATATATAATTTATATATTATAGAAATACATTGTCAGCCATCGATAACTTACCAAATGTTGCAGTAAGGAGTTCCTTAAATTGTTTGAAACCTTCTTTATGTAGTCCATTTGGATTATTACGTCCAAACAAGTTATATTGTAGGGCCTATAGGCTATATATAGTAATAATAAGTAAATATTAAAGAATTCCTATTCCTACCTTAAAATCCTTTTTAAAATGCACAGACACCAAAGATATATCTCTGAAACACACACACTTCAATAAAAATTGACACATAAGATACACATGGTCGGTATTCTCCAGAGATATCCATATCTCTGGTATTCTCACGCTGACGCTTTGCGCGCGCACTGTTTTAAATGCTCGAATCGTCGAATGTAGAAACAACAAGGCACAACTAAATAGTGTATATGTAATTCTTAGTACCATGTGTATATATAGCACTTTTTCGTAGTGTATGCAGTAAGCACAAATATTACATTAAGCATCACACATACATATGACTTAAACCCTGTAGGCATCTACAATTGTACGGACGTCAAATTTTATAATTCTAATGATCCATTTTTACGCTATATAAAAATGTTTAGAATCTTAAGTGCATACGGTATACAATTAATAAACATTGTATCACATAATTCTGTTAATATAAACATAGGTGTATCTCATATGTGTACGTCAGTACTGGATCAACAATTAGATCCACCTTAACATCATCTGTTTCTCACGTGTATATCTTGTAGAGACGTAATTCAAATTGGACGTGCTGTATGGGCATGATACAACAACAACATGCTGTATGGGTTAGTTCTTCATACAGGAAAAATATTGGAAATTGCAATGTTTTATAAAAAAATCCATATTTTTCACAAAAATATATATATCAAGGTGAACCAAAAACAAAACTGTTAAGAATAGATGTGACTTGATAAATAAAACTTAATTTAGAACAATATACGGTTTTGCCACTCTACAGAGTGTCTTAAACTTATGGTAAAAAACATAGTTTTGTTTAAACCTGTATATTATAAACGTACGTGTATTTTTTAGTAATTTTCAAAATGTGAGCGATTCTCCATTAATGTATCTACAATATTCTTTAATATTTGTTTAAATCCGACATCAAATAAAAAAGTTATTTGCGATTGAAATTCATCGAAAATTAGTGTGGATCGATTATTTTGCCTATGGGTGCACATGTATGGAAAATTTGTATTTTGAAATTGTTATTTTTAATTTTTAAATCGAGTCTTGTCACTGTGCGAAACGACTACCTGTCGATCGAGCATGCGCATTCCATCCGCTGTAAGAAAAAACGCCACCACTGTGCGCACTCTTGTACCGCGTCTGCGCCGCGACGTCGACAGCTGGCGGACGCCGTGCGTCGTATTAATAGCACCGTCGCGACGGCTTCATCGTGTCAATCCGATGCCGTAGGTATTCGCAAAGTGTTTCCTAGTTAAACAATTTTTACGTTGCCACGGAATTTCGACATTTATCACTTCGAAAAAATGCATTTCCGTGAGAAGATTTTTACGGCTGAAAACCCGGTGTTTTTCCTATTTGAGTGCTTTCTATAAATACTTGTTTATTATTAGGTGGACAGCCAATTTTTTATAACACCCTTATATATACTAATAACACAATAAAACTAGGTGAGTACTTACAGAATTCATTTACCTAACATTCCAATAAAAAGGCATTAAATATCTCTTAAATATATGCAACTTATTTTAATGTGAGGTTAAGTTTTGATCCATATTTATATGCAACAGTTCTTCATAACATCAGCCAGTTATTTAGAAAACTCAAACATAAAAATGGTTGATTTTAAGGTTATGTTTGTGCAAAAATTATTTTAACTAATTTCTTAAAAATGTCCAAACTTAAATATAAATTAAATTAGGTAAAGTTATCATTAGTTTATTCTGCACCAACAAATGTACTTACCGAATTGGATCCTTTGGCAAAACATGAAAATGCAACGATTTAGTTCTTGAATTTAATTTTCAATTAAAAACACAATAATTCACCATGATCCCTTAGATATTACGTTAGTGTGTGTATTTTACACACACTAACGTAACTATATGAGCATTTAAGCGTTGAGTTTCTTAATCAATGATATAAGGAATAATCAATCAAAATCGAGTACTAAAAAATTTTTTTAATTTTTTTCTTGCAATGCATTCAGTCAAAATTTGTTCTTTATTTAAATTAATACAACAATACATGTAATTTATATTTTTTTAGGAAAATATGGCGTTGGTAATGTTACCATGCGACCTGCCATGGTGGGACAGCGTAAAAAAACACCTGAAAAAAATCGCCAGCACAAAGAATACCCTGGAAATCATTGAAGCCATGCAAAAAATATATGAAATGTGCAAGTATATAATGTTTTGTTTATTACAAAAAAGAGATTTTAAGTGTATGGTAAAAACCAATCATCACACAGTACAACACGATTTTCCTCCCATGAAAATTTTTAACAGATTTTAAAAAAGGTTAAAAGACGTTTCACGAAATCACGTCATTTAATTTTTTTTACACAGCCATTCTTATTATTTTAACCTAAACAGATTTTTTATAAATATTTTTTTTTCTTTAAATATTTTATGTTTTCATAAAAATATACTGTCTAGCTGTTATCGCATCTGTTATATTATGTGCCGAATACCGTGGATAACATAATATTGGATTGCACTTAAAAAAAATGACGTGATCTGTAAAAAGGTCGAGACACGGGTATCATTTAGAAAATTAAATTTTGTCGTACTGTGTTATCATTACACTTAAATCACTTTTTATAATTTTTCAAATTCAATTTTTTTTTTTTTTTTAGTGTAAGTCTGGATCCAGACGACGACTTGGTCGACCCTGATCAGTTTACCGGCCTCCTTAATTTTCTAGAAAACGACGTAACAAACGAAGAGCGTAGCAATTTGATGAACAGAACGTTGCCAAATGTGGTGAAACACGCCATCCTGATAAAGGAAAGAAAACCGAAGCGGGGACTCCACTTCAGCTTGCAACAACAAGGTGAGTTTTAACCCAAAAAAAAAACACTCATTTCGATTTTTTTCTTTAGCTGACTGTACTGAACTGGACTACGCCTTTGTCACGTCGCTTCTGGCAAACGCTTTTTTCTCGACATTTCCAAAAAGAACCGACAAAAGTCATCCGACGTTGCAGAACTTTAATTTTTCCAATTTTTTCAAAAACCTCGCCGACAACCCTCAAAAAACCAAGCTCAGAAGCGTTTTCCATTTTTTTGACTGGATTGAGGAAGGTGGGCGTATAAATGGACACATTACCGTGCAGAGACAGGTAAAAGATCAAACATACATTTTTTCAACTCCAGTTTAACTCGATCTAACTCTTAGGTGATGACATCTAAAGAGTGGCTTACCATAGAAGACTGGTTGGAATGCAGCTTACCTCTGTGCCCTCTACAAATAAAACACGAGGGAAAACTGGAGAGATCCGATATAGACTCGTTGCAGATATTATTTGCTTCAGCCAAAATCGGAGGTGATGTGTTGAGGAACGGTTCGAACCAAGAAAGCACACACTTAGCCACAATCCCGGAATTAATCATGGTGCTACTAAACATAGAATCACTGGAGGATAACGAGGTGCTCACAGTTGGTAGAGTAAGAAGAGTTTCTAGGATAAAAGACCCCAAAAACAAAGCTGTACTGGAGAAGCTAGACGATGCTCAACCCATATCAGTGTGCTGTATGGACGCGGACGACTACAAAAAGTTACCCATAAGTCAATATGAAGAGGACAACGTTTTAAGAGAGTTAAACAAGTGCTTATTGGCCTTCCAGCAGAAACCGCACAAAACCAATGATATACCAGTACAAAGGGATCGTCAGCGACGCCTATCGCCCATCGGTGAATCGATGGGCTCCAATGTATCCGAAGGTATACCGTTGATAACCCAGCAATCCGCCAGCACTACGCGTACCGACTCTAACCGCAGTGAATCCCCTGATAACAACAACACCAACAAATTAAGGGTAAAGCTGGAGATGGAGAGAAATCTCAAGAAGAAGGGCCAAATTAGCTGTGAAGCCTTGGTCCACAATAGGAGAGGGAGGTTCATAGTTCTAGGTTCTTCAGGTGAATGTCTTCCAGTCACCAGAAATCCGATGAAGAAAGATGAGAGCATGTTCTCGAGCTGTGACAGTAGCGAGGATGAGTTTCATAGTGCCAAAACAAGCCTAGATGATGGTACGTACTGTAACATACCCTTAGAGTTGTTTAACAAAGTTTTTTCTAGGCAGCGAAGACGAGAACTATCACAAACGATACAGTATAGATTTGGAGACGCCGGAAAGGAGATCATCCTTCGCTCAGCGTCTTAAAGACGCCTTAAAACACGAGATATCACCGAGTCTTTCGAGTTCCAGTGACGACTCAAGCTATGCAGTTGGAATCAACATCACTGGAGCTGGGGTGACAGACAAAGATATTAGGTGAGTTTGGTGAACGATTCCATCCAGATTGTAAAATATTTTTTTTTGTTTAGGGTACGGAGAGGTGGCTCAACAGGTTTTGCTTTGCAAGAGGATTCCGTGGATGAAGACTATCTAGAGCATTCGTTGAAACAAGAACGACAGTGGATTGATAAATTTAAGAGCAAGCAGTCTGCGTTGAGCAGGAAAGAGTCCAACAAATCTTCAGAATATAGTTTCAGTACTGATTTCAGGTGAGTAGATTGACACTCTATATATAGATACATAACAAAACATTTTTAGTTCTGAGCAAGAAGAACTGTATGAGCAGTTCTCTCATTGGCTGAACAATCCGATCCTGGAAGTGGATAAAGGAACAAAGAGGGAGTTGGATGCAAGGGATCTGGCTGTGGTGAAATTCGCCGGGTCCATTCTAAAAAGGACTTTAAGCGAGTCGTTCGCTGGCATACCAGTACCTCTAACCGAAAACTGTGATTCTAGCCATCAGGATTTCAAAACTAAAAAGAACAAGTTGATTTTAAACGCCAAATCTCTAAGTTTGGAGCTCGCCAGGCAGAAGCACCGATTAGCCGCGCAACTGGTAAGTTTAGTTCGTATCAATTAGTGACTCAGCTTGGAAAAATAAAAATTATCGTTTTTTATTTGGATATTAGAATGACAATATAGAATCTGCAATTAGGAAGATTCCCAAAGACTTAACTTGCAAGGTAGATGCTTCGACAAAAAATTTAACAAAAAAGCGCAGAGCTTGGTTTATTACTTGTGTCAGTGACGCCATCGTGCAAACACTAGAAGAAACCACTTTTAACTTTGCTTTACCGCAAGAAGAAAAGGTAAAAAAAATAACCAAATTGAGTGAGGGTGATACGACTTAATAATAGCATGTACGGTTTTGATAACACAGTTTTTAGATGTTAAGTGATAGCCTTGTTCCAACAAGACTCTTTGTTGGAACAAAGCCAAACTGATTAACTAAACTTTGCTTGTTTTAGCTGTCAGAACTGTGTCAAAAACCGCACAACGGGCTTAGAGCCATAAGCACTGGGAATTGGGGTTGCGGATCTTCGAGAAAAGGGGACGTGCAACTCAAGGTCATCGTGCAATGGCTCGCCTCCAGCGTTGCCGGAGTTCCCTCGCTCATTTACTACACGTACGGCCACGAAAACCTGGCCAAGCTGGACACCGTGTGCCGGATATTGGTGGACCGGAAGTGGACCGTCAAAGATTTGGCGCAAGCCACCTTGAGATACTCGAATCAGGTGTTGCACGGCAGGGAGGTTAGCGGTACCCTGTTCGAGGAGTTGATTGGGGGTTGATGTGACGTTTTTAAGGTTATACAGGCTTGCCAACGTATGCGGTGTGTCCTCTGATAGAGTTCAATTTTTCGGTTTTATTTTAGTTTTAATGAGTCTTTGTGCAGGAATTCCTAAAATTTGGTTTCAACATGTTGCGGATGCTGAATTTTCGACATCCGCGGATGCGGAAATGGATGCATTTTAAGACTCACATGAGGCGGATACCAAAATTTATGCGGAAGTTCCGCATCCCTGGCATCGAATTTAACATCAGCATCCGCAAAAACAAAAATTAATGCGGAAGTTCCGCGACCAAAAATTCCTGCTACATCATTGGTATCGACTTCAACATCAGCATCCTAAAAATCTCAGCAGATGCTAAAATTAATGCGGAAGTTCCGCGACCGAAAATTCCTGCAACATCCCTGGCATCGACCAACATCAGCATCCGCAAAAGCTCAGCAGATGCTAAAATTAATGCGGAAGTTCCGCGACCAACAATTCCTGCTACATCGCTGGTATCGACTTTCACATCAGCATCCGCAAAAACTCTACAGATGCTAAAATGAATGCGGAAGTTCCGCGTTTGCAAATTTCTGCTACATCCCTGGTATCGACTTAAACATCAGCATCCGCAAACTCAGTATTTTTTGCTGCAAGTGCTAAAATTAATGCAGAAGTTCCGCGATTGAAACATTCTCTACCCGCGCACACACTGCATACTTGATAATTCAATATATGTATGTTTTTAATACATTTGGGCCTGTATAGTTTGCTGTATTATACAAACGATTTCCTACGTTTGGAGATTATAAATATTTTTACTCATTAGGTTGTAATACAATAAGTATACTTATACATATTAAAATTAATACAGGGCGTACCTGTGTATAACGCCTTACTGTACAAAAAATATATTTAAGTGGAATAAAATCAAATTTTTATATTTCTTTTTATTGTATGGTTGTATATATAACAATATTTATATGCTTTATGAAAGTTATTTTTGAAGAAAAAATAGTGCCTCGTTGTTAAAACGTTAAAAAAGTGTTCACACAGTTTTTTACCCAATTTTATGTAATATTACACCTTTGCGCATCAGGAATTGTAACAGTGTAACAGTCTTCCATTTTTAAGGCAACTTTTTGTAAACGAGCATAAAAAAAGACAATGTGGAGTGTTTATTATAAATTTTAATAAATACAATAAATCAATATGTTAATTTTTAATGATAAACCTAAAAGAAAATACCCCTCATCCTTCTACCTAATCCTTGCCTGTCATATAGGATATTAAACTTGTTCACGAATTGATTCAAATCGTTGCAGCCTTTGGTTAATGTTCCCAGGTAGGTCATGAGTCCCACATCGTTGCATTGCTAAAAATAGTGTTGGAAGAAAACGGTAAAAGGCATAAAAATCGTTCTTACATTATAGAAGTCCTGCCTGAACCTCTGGCTCTGTATCACAGGCAACCTGTGGCACAGAGAATAAGCCTCTCGCATAACCTCGTGATTCATCGGCAGCTGTCCGCTTTGCACTGCGCGCATGTACTCCAAAACCAATCTGACTCGAGAGTGCAACATTTTGATGGCGCTGTGTTGAGCAGTTAAGTGCTCGGCCACCAGAGAACTCTCTCCAGAGTCGGCGGAGCACATTCTGGCAACGTGGTCTACACCGATACGTTCCGCCTCTTCTGTGGCTAAAGTGTAGCTCAGCGATACGAACAGCATCGTGGCCTCGCCACTCACTAAATCTATCACTGATTCGTAGAGATTTACTGGTAGATGCTGCAAGGAAAGAAATGAAAGCATGTAAACAGTTTACATGCCAAGTAAAATAGTCCAACCTTGCGGATATTCACTATAAACTAAATTTTACTCAGTAGCCATATAATAATAATAATTCTTATTTGACTGGAAACTGAAGTTAGAAACAGGATTTTAGTAATGGGCTGAAGTTAGTTTTAAGTTAGTTGACAGTTGTCAAATGTCATACAATCGTTGAAATAAAGTACCTTTCTTGTAAAATATTACTGAATATCAAAATTATTTTATTAACTCAATAAAAAATTATTAAATAGTTTCTTGAAAACAATATTTAATAACCTTTTTGATCTACTAAGAGAATAACGTAATAAAAACAATATAAATACCACAAATTTACGTAAAAATAACGCTATAATTACTAACTGTTTGCTCTCTCTTTCTAAAACATTGACATTAGTAATTTCTTTGTTCTTTTAATTATATTTTACAAAATGGTACTTCCCTGATAGCACAGTTTATTCTAAGAATGTTTTTTAAACCTTCCAGTGAGAATATTCTTAGGATCATGCTATATTACTTCTAGTCATGTTTAGAGATTCAAAATTTCCGGAAAAATTGAGTGTCGGAAAAAAACCCTGTTTTTTTCCTGGAAAAATTGGAAAAAAACGGAAATTTTGGGAAAAATTGATATTTTCTTAAAAACAAAAAAAAATGTTTAAAAATATTTTAAATATTTTTTATAATATTTATAAATTATTTTGATTAAAAAATTCCCGTTATGTATAGGCGCCCCCCGGGGAGGCACCTGTAGGGTCATGCTTTTTAACGATGAAAAAACCCTAGTTGCCGACGGCCGTAATTCACATTAAAATCATTGTTGTATAGGTAACTATTCAAAATACACTAACCCAGGCGTTAGTAGCATATTCAATGATTTTAACATCACAATGGCAACCCTGCCCGATCAGCTGATTAGGAACCGACACGTCGGACCGATCGTCGTTCGTTTACAGCGTTACGGTAAGCATAAAAACATTTATCTTGTATTAAATATACTACCACTCATTAATACATAAATTATATCAAATCAAAATACTTTTTAGATGTTCGTTTTTTTTTAAATATTTTTTCAATTTTTCCGTTTTTCAATTTTTCCAAGGCTCGGGAAAAAAACGGAAAAAAACACTGTTTTTTTCCAATTTTTCCTGTTTTTTTTCCGAACCTTTAAATCTCTAGTCATGTTCTAAGAATGTTTTTTAAACCTTCCAGTGAGAATATTCTTAGGATCATGCTATATTTCTTCTAGGCATGTTCTAAGAATGTTTTTTAAACCTTCCAGTGAGAATATTCTTAGGATCATCCTATATTTCTTCTAAAGAACATGCTTAAAAGAAATATAGCATAATCCTAAGAATATTCTCACTGGCCTCTAGGCAGGTTCTTAGAAGGTGCAAAGTTTAGTGGTAAAAATTAATCGACTCTAAGCATATGCTTAGAATGTTGAGAAAGTAATTAGTATTAAATACTAAGTAAAAAACAACCCAAAATATTTTTTATAGTTATTTATCAAATTAAAACAATATTAGATAACAAAAATACTTTTGCTATAGGTATCTAAATTATCCGGCTTTTACATAAAATCTTCTATCCAACTTAAATACAATGAAAAATGTTTTTTTTATGAAGAACTTTTTGGTTTTTTCTTTTATGAAGAATTATTTTTTAAGTAAATATTTTGTTTTTTATATTTTATTTAATGTTAAAAATAATATTTATTAATTTGTATACCGATTTTTTATTTCTGAATTAACATTTTTATGTATAATAATCCTAACTATCTTCAACTTCAATCTAATCTGACTTATCCCACAAAATTTTCCAATTTTACTTTTTATGTAATAATGTCATACAACTTATGGTTTAGAGGTCAAATTGTTTATTTAATACTTTTAAATAAATATATATTAATATGTCACAAAAATTTTTAAGGGGACGACAAATACATTTCACTGTCATATTATGACAGTGAGGCGTATTTGTCGTCTCCTGAAGAATTTTACGAATGTAAAATACAACATATTAGAACGTGGGTATCTGACATATTTGGAAATATTCTCAAAAGCTTCCTAGAAGCTCCATAAGAAACCTTCTAAGAACATTCCGAAAACGTATTCTTAAAATGTTCTTAGATTGCTTTTTAGGAAGGTTTTAAGAAGCTTCTAAGAATCTACTTGCATCATTAAAAGGGTATCTATTGAATGTTTTAAAAGTCCCTAAGAACATTCTTAGCAATAAGGGAAGGTTCTAAGAATATTCCATTATTCCGAGTCGTATCTTCTTAGAAGATTCTTAGAATCAAATTTTGCTATCAGGGTTACAAAGTAATAAAGCCTTTATTATTATAAAGGCCACCCTAAAATTAAAAAATATAACCTAAATTGTCAAAACTAATAATATTTTGCATTAAAACTCAAACGCATATTATTTTATTGATAAAAATAGACGCGATACATCTTAAAAATTATATGCCCTTCAAATATTTTAGGTACGATTTTAAGAAAAATTATTGCTGGGTAAAAATTCAACAAAATTTAATAAAATATTTTAAAAATCATTTAGTTTTAATCATTTTATCATAACTTATTATATTTTAGAAAAATATTTATGTAAAAATATTATATAAATGTTCAGATAAGTAATGGATGCCATTTAAAAAAACTCATTATGGAGACATAATAAAAAAGTTTTATTTTTCACTTTAAGCTTATTTTTCCTTGTTCAGTCAATATTAATAGTATTTATTACCACTAATAACCCTAAAAATACCAGGCGAATAGGAATTATTTACGGTTATAAAGTGGTCTTAATATCGTAAAATTATGACTTTTGAGTAACATTTACCATGAAGTAAAAATTCTGACGTTAAATTACCGTTAAATTTTCCTTAAAGTGAAATCCACTTATAAGTAATTTTCTTTCGAAAAAATTACGTCCCTCATAATATTTTAAAGTGTTGAAACTTTTTAAAATAGGTAAAAATAACATAAATAATATATTGAAGATATTTTAATATTTTAAAGTATCAATAATTATTTAGTTTAGTTAAAATATTAACGGGCAATTTTAATGGTGAATAAGTTATATTTATTAGTTTAAATTAATTTTATGGTAATCTATATTACCTACTTAGGTATATCATTTTGAAATATAAATTAAAGATAGAAAGAAAATATAAATGTTTAGAAAGAGAGAATAGGCATGAAGTAATTTTAACGATTTTTTGACGTAAATATGTAGTATTTAATTGGTTTTTATTACTTTATTTTTTGGTTGCTTGAATACCTAGTTATTATGTATTAAACCATTCTTTAAATTTGGTACCTACCTACTTTTTTGTTTTTGTCAAAATATTTTATAACTAAAGGAAACAAGATGTTTTATCTTAAAATGTTTAGATAAATTACTATGAAAAATAATTATATTTTGAAAAATACTGACTATTTTGACTTATCACATAAATGCATTTTTTGAACTATAAAACTTATTTATGAATACAATCAATTTTATTAAACCATTCAATAAAACAGTAGGGATAGCATCAGAGCAAAAATTCAAGAAAATTTAATAATTACAAACTAAAAAAAGTAAAAACTAACCTCAATGTTCTTATCGTAGGGATTAAGCTTGAGCATAACAGGTGATTCATTAATTTCGCATATTTGTTTGTGTATTTTTACATCGTTTGCATCTGGGGCATCACCTGTAGTATACCAACCAATGAAATCCATATCACTAAACACCTGTTTAACTATAACAATATTTATTATTATATTAACTCACAAAATACTGATTTTTTTAGGTAAGACTTACATTGTTCCTCCTTCATGTTATAATAATCTCTGTCTATGACAACTTCCCCATCTATAATTCTAAACACCAGCTCAAATGAATTCATTACCTCAATGTTACGCCCCTTTTGCTTGCCTATCAAGGCCCCAAAAACTAAAACCCAACGTTAAAAACTAAAACCAATTTTCGCACATTATTTACCCTGCTGGACCTCCCCTTCCTGCGCCCTCTCCCTCGTCCAATGCTCAGAAACGTTCATAATCACCAAGGGATGCAATGAACAAGTCACAGAACCCACCGTGCCAGGAGCCATTACGCTTTTTGGGGGCACTATTTCTGTATCCATTGTATGCTTTTGACCCTCCTGGCTGGTTGTTGAAGTTTCAACCTCCATTTCCATGGTTTCTTTCGAACCAGAGCTCATTTTAACAGAAATTTTATTTGTTTTGATGAATTTGACGTTTGCGATGTCAAATGTCAGAATTTTAGTACTGCCAACGGAATAAAACAAAAATTTAAATAATAGTTTTTATTTCAAAACAGAACAAATAATTAAATAGCACACTGAGATCTGTTTTATTGTTTTAACAATACTATCTACGAAATACCTATCTATATAAATAAAATATTAATTCCTAAAAACTAATTTTCATGGGTTTTGAATGAGATATAGGTGTTCCACAAAACAGCAACAGATTGCACAAGTAAAACCTGATGTTTCAAAGGTACAAAATAAAAGTTAACGAGCTGAACCCACGGCCATAGTTTATAATTCGCCAGCAAAATATCGGGGTATTTTTTCCCCAACTCGCACGGAATTTTCCTCACCTCCCCTCCTTCTGACAGATCAATAACGCTAATAATCGCCGCGATAAACACGGGCGCAAAAATAAGTTGATCCAACGCGACTTTTTTGAAAACCGCTGTTTTTTTGTTCGCGAGTTGGCGCACCTGCGCGGTGAACTTCTTGTCCAAAAATTTGTACCACGCGGAAATTGTCGGGCCCTTTAAAGGAAAACGAGTTAATTCCACGATTGGGGTGAGTACTTTTTACGTCATACATACCACGAAGAGCAAACCGATGCCGAAAAATTTCGCTGTCCTAACCGTGTCGTAACTTTCTAGTGATTTTTTCTCCACCACTGTTTGTGCTATAAAATCGCCGCCTGCCATGAGAAACCCCGTTTGAAATGCATTGTAGACTGTCATATGTTTATTTACCAAAATCTTGTACGCCTTGACTATGCTTGTTGTCATTTTGAAGCCGTTTGTTTTGTAGGTTATGTTACTGTCAAAAAGACCGCGAATATTTGAAACACCCTAAATTTTAGTAGTCAATAACCATGCTAAGAGCTTTCTATAAAACATTTAGGACGTATAGAAGCTTGCACAGAATCGTACAGCCAAAAATAGCCATCAAACATTTATCTAGGGCTGTAAAGGTGAGCTTATCAACAGAAATATACAGTTTAGTTAAAGATAATAAGGAAGAAATAGAGGAGATACTTCTGCAAGCGCAATTACAAGGAAAAGAAGCTTACATAGAGCTTGTAAACGTTCTTAAAACCTTTATTTTGGAAAACTGTAAGGAATATCAAAAATGCGTAAAACAACAGATTGAAATAACTGAACAGGCAAACATTTTGGGGCCTTTAAGCCAAAAGTGGGGCGAATTGCCCGAATATAGAACGCTAGCCAAAGATTTAAGCTACGAGCTGTCAATTTATGTTACCTTGTTTAGGTCTATCGGGAATATTATTAAGGACAACAAAGAGTTGAGGGAAGTTGTTTTTAAGGTTTACAAGGATTTTGAGAGGATTTTGGACAAGGAGTTGGATATTAACAAGAAGTTAGATGGAGAGTTGTTGAACTTAAATTGTGATAGCATTTTAAAAGGTATTGGTTAGTTTTTGTGTTATAATACAATAATATATTCTTATTGTGCGTTTTTTTCATTTTTGGCTTTGCTCAAGTGGTTCTAAAGAATGCAGGCAACCCAGATTACACGCGGATGTTATGTGGGTTGCGTTATTCGTTAAAGAAAAAGTGTTGAGATAATTTCTTTTTGTTTCAGATTCTTTGGGTTTCTGTGACCATGAGTTCCCAGAAAGGGAATACAGGGAGGACTAGGCCCCAAAAATACAAAAACCGATCGGCCTTTAAGAACAATTTGCACGATAAAAGTACGAAAACCAAATTAATAAACAGCTTGCATGTAAGTGATGTTTGTGTTCGCTGCAAGGAAATAATAGAATGGAAAATTAAGTACAAAAAATACAAACCGCTCTCGCAGCCGAAAAAATGCGTAAAGTGCGAACAAAAAACCGTAAAAAAAGCTTATCACGTTATGTGTTTCGATTGTGGTAGAAAACTTGAAGTTTGCACCAAGTGTTGCCAATCTAAGGAAATTGTGCCGGCACCCCCTGATAAAAGGGAACAAATTAAATTGGATAACGAAATGAAGGCTCTGCTGCAATCTTTACCAGAACGTAAGAGAAGGACGTTTTTGAGGTACATGGAGAAAAAAGGCCTTGAAGATAAGGAAAAAGATGAAAAAGTCACTGATGATCAGCAAAAAGAAGATCTAATGTCAAAACTTAACGATTTAAAAGTTAAGGATGATGATGATGATGATTTTGACGATTTTAGCGATGATATAGAAGACAATGAAGATGAAGAAAGTGATTAACATGTTAACAAATTTTATAATACAAGTTTTGTTACAAAAAAATTTATTATTAAAAAAACTAAAATAACATATAATTATAGTATATTGCACACAATATTTTAGTCAACTAACGCAAGAAATTTAAAGGCAATTTTATTTAATATTATATCTAACTGTCAAACACTTATAACCTTACTTTTTTCCAATTTTCTTCATTTATGTCGCAATTTATTTTCCAAGTAACATAAATATTCCAGAAAAACGCAAAACTCTGAGAATACAAAACATGGTAATACATTGGCACATAATTATACTTAACTATTTTTAAAAAGGGCCAAACCACATAGTTATTCTTAATAATTTCCAAATATTTATCCTGAAACTCCAACCTAATTTCATCCCGATTTTTCCCCTGTAAAGCATTTTTCCCGAAAACCACTCCCGCCACTAAAATTGGCGCGAAAACAAATTGATCCAAAAGTACTTTCTGCAAAACCACACTCTTCTTACTGTGTTTGCTGGTTTCGTAGAAAAGCGTCAATTTTTTGAAAAACACTGATGAATACGGACCCTAAAATCACCGCAGTGTTACCAACTGTCAAATAAAAAAAAACAATGGCTTACCACAAAAAGTGCTCCTATGCCAATAAACTGCAAGCTTCTATAAAAATCGATGTTTTCTCGTTTTTCGACAAACTTTTGCGCCACCAAATCGCTAGATCCCAACAAAATACCCGTTTGTATAGAGTTTAAAACAGTCAAATGCCTTTTGGAAAAATTTTTGTACGACAAAAATACTTTTTGTACTATTGTGGACATATTTGTACTATAATTATATTTACCTACATAATTTAACTCATTGTTATCTAAAACCTTGTAATTCCAACATTTTATTTATGTGATTTTCTTTAGGATTAGAAATGATTAGTCTGCATCTGATTTTGCGCTGTTTCATCACGAATATGAGTAAAGTCCATGACAAATTTATCGATTATTATACAATAGCAATGTTGCCAGCTACCAGAAAAACCTTCACAAAGTTTAAGTAACATTTTGTTTATATTATTTAGATGTATTATCAAAATTGCCTTGCTTTTGGTATTTTCTTGGATAACATTCTACATTGTCTGTCAATGGTTGACAATATGGCAACAATGCGCGCAAAGCAAGTGCGATTTCTACACCATATTCAGTTATCTATATTTTTATATTTTTATATCAGTTAATTACTAAACTTTTTAGTGCCTATTAATTGTTTAATTTTAATTTTGTGTAGTTATGCAGTTATAATTTTTTATTCCATTTTAAATTGTATTTCAAAACATGTAAAAATATACAAGGTTGCCAATTTAACCAACTTTGTAGCTTCAATAATAACGAAGTTAGCAATATGCAGATATTTGAATTTAATTGTTTATTAAAATACATTTTATGTTATTTTTAAACATCATTCATCACAACAATCGTCACAGCTTTCTCTGTGAAGCTCATATGCGAAATAAATGCTCCACAGAAAGACAAAAAGTCTATAGTACAAAACAACGAATTTTGGATTTAAAAACGCATATCTTATGATGTGAATTAAAGGCCACACTAGCCAATGAGCTAGAAGTAAGTCTAAAAATTTATCCCGAAAATGAAACTCCTCGCATGTCTCAGCGGATTCGGAGAGTAGTATTGCTGCGTACAGTAGAGGCACCAAAATCAGTTCTATGAATAAAATTTTTCGCATGTTCATGAGGAATATTTGCCACTTCCCCATCTGACAAGTGCATTTTATCTGACCCACGAGGGTTAACCATGTCGACCATATGCATTGCTAAAAATGGACAACACTGTATATTTGTTTACTTTTTATTTGGTTGGTAGAGAATGAAAATGCATTACCATCTTCATAAGGGATTTCATATCCTTTAAAATATGTCCAAAAATTAGCCAGCCCTGAAAATTAAAAAGCATTACAAATATGATTTTGATTTTACTCTAAAGAAGTATTGCTAGTAGCGCCACCATCGTAACAAAAGTAAAACTTATAATAATAATAATAATAATAATCAGCTGTCAAACGCTTATGTTACAAACGAGTTTTTTTGAGAATAAAGCCGGAAAATGTAAAAAATATCGGAAAAAAACCGTGGCTCGATTTGTTGTGTTGTTGGGTGTATTTCGAGAGGAAATCCTGGGTTGAGTTTTTACCGGTTTTCCAATGAACAGTGTTAATCTGAATGAAGAAAAAATTGCATACAGTCTCTGTAAATATAAATTGTACCTATTGGATACAATAAATACACATTTTAGTGGTGATTAACGTGAAAAGTGTAAACATTTCAATTCAGTGAAAATCGTCAAACAAATAAGTCGTCTAAATTTAAACAGCATTTAGCATTATTAAAATCGTTGAATAAGAAAGTCTCCACTCAACGGTAAAATGCATTTTATTAAGTATTATATTTATTATTATGTAGCCATGAATTCGTAGGTATATTTTGTTGTTTAAAATGCAGTTGTCGGCGTTTTTTAGTGAACTCAAACATAAAAATGGTTGATTTTAAGGTAATGTTTGTGCAAAAATTATTTTTTACTAATTTCTTAAAAGTGTCCAAACTTAAATATAAATTATATTAGGTAAAGTTATCATTAGTTAATTCTGCACCAACAAATCTACTTACCGAATTGGATCATTGGCAAAACATGAAAACGCAACGATTTAGTTCTTGAATTTTATTTACAATTAAAAACACAATAATTCGCCATGACCCTGAGATAAAATACACACACTAACGTAACTATATAAGCATTTAAGCGTTGAGTTTCTTAATCAATGATATAAGGAATAATCAATCGAAATCGAGTACTAAAAGTTTTTTAACTTTTTACTTATTTAGCGTATACTCATACTCATATGCAGCTTTCAATTATATTACTTTGGTAGGTAGGTACATTTAAAAAAATAAAACAAGATTTTACTGCTAAACATTGTACAATTTTATATTACACCACATTACATTGTAAGACTGACTAATCTTTGCACTCCTGACAACAGCATCCTTTGCACTCATCCAAATGGTACTTCCAGGACAAGTAGATGGCCCACGGCAGGTACGCCATCTTGAAGAAGAAACCCTGGTGCCTGGGTATGAAGAAAATATACTTGAAAACGTGCATGGGCGGCCAATAGATCCAATTAAACCAGACTATGTCCGCAAATTTCTCGTCCACATCCTGAACAATGCCGCTCCAGCATTTCCCGCTCATGGTACTCATCACCGTCAAGCCGGTCAAGGTCACCATCGGTACGAAGATCAGTTCCGTGGCGAGGATTTTCTTCAGAGCCCTCGTGATCTTTGAACACTCCGTACACGGTTTGCAAGAGATTTTTTTTATCAGCACGTAGAACCACATGGAGGTAGCAGGCCCCTACAAAGAAAATTTACAGTATATAGTCGTATCAAGGGTGGGAAACATACCAAGGTTTTCTAAAATGCTTCTGTGAGCACACAATGTACATTTATCGGCAGAATAATCCTTACAAACCCAATTTTTTCAACGCATCTAGTAACCGAGTTTATTGCTTTCTGAATTCAGAAGCAAAGATAATATTTTTCAACCTATACTTAAAACTAAGTAAAAAACTTAGACTGTGGTGTTTAAGGAATCCTCTACTTTGTCAATGAAATATATTTTATTGTAAAAATGACGTTTATTTTAAATAAACCTCATTTTTGTCTAATTAATATTTCATTGTTCAGCAAGAACCACGTGAAGGTGTAGAGGTAAAGTGCAGCATTATTAATATATCCATTAGGTTTAAGCCCTAATCATTAAATTAATAATAGTACACCATCAAAAATATCGGTACAATTTCTCACCGTAATATCCATAATGACTAAATTCAAATAAATCACCAAGTTCAATTAACTAAACCCACAGAATAAACCACTTACAAAAGAATCATAAAATAGAAAAAGAATAAACTAAATATTGCGTAAATAATCAAAGATTTGTTCTTTAAACAGTTCAGAATTTTATAACCAAAACAAACCTAAAGAAGGAATCTGTATTTATATTATTGGTTACTGTGATGGCTACAAGATGGCGATAGTGTTAAAATATGTTTATTTTAGAATAGAAATATAATTTCGATTAAATCGATTTATTATAAGAAAAATAATACCATTTATTATTGAATTTTGAAAAACGTGTAAAGTATAATTTATCTAAAATTGTTGCCACAACACCTGCTTATTTCCTTGGATGTAGGCGTGCCTGCCTCGCATATGCCAATACAAGAGAAGGAGACAACTATGATATCGCATTGTAATAGAACGAGACAACAAGGCTAACGCCAATCGTGAGTCTAAATTAGTTCAGGCATGCTTCTGAGTCAATCATCTAGCTATAAATATTGGTTTAAATTGCGATCGTTTCAAATTTAAATAATTTAAATGTTGCTGGGTATTCCACGTATAAAATCAATCAATTTTATTGACTATTTCACAATTCATGTAATCCAAATATTAAAAATTTATAGTATATTATAGAAAGTAAAATATTTAAATTATACTTAATTTTCTAAATTCTCTATGATGAGGCACTGCCTCACCTAGAAAGAGACAGCAGAAAAGGAAATATAAATCTGGGATGATTCCATCTTTTGAAAACAACGGTTGAAAGAGCCATCATTGCTTTCTTTTAGAGCAACTAATCTACTGGATTTGGAATTTTGACGACAGTAAAGAATTTCTAATCTCCAAAGAAAAGCCGAATTTTTTCCATTCTGGGTGACCTTCAATATAATTTGATTTCAAACACAAATAAAAGATCAAAATATGTATACTCGCTAGACTTTACTCTTTGACAATTTGTACAATTTTATAGAAAAAAACATCACAGGACTATTCATCGTCGTCTTCGCATTCTTCGCAGCAGGCCTCGCACTCGTCCAAATGGTACTTCCAGGATAGGTAGGCAGCCCAAGGGACATAGGCAAGCTTGAAAATCAACAATTGGTGCCTGGGTATGAGGACCATGTATTTGATGAAGTGTATCAAGGGCCAGTACGTCCAGTTGGCGACGACGATGTCGCCCCATTTTTCATTCACAGTTTGCACGATGCCGCCGTAACATTTCCCATCTATAGTGCTCATCACAGTCAACCCAGCTGCGTTGACAATCGGAACGAAGATCAATTCCGTGGCCAGGATCTGTTTAAGTGCCATCGTGAATTTGGAACACTCTTTGCACGGCTTGCAGGCGAATTTTCTCTCGGCGAATCTGAACCACCAAGATGTGGCTGGCCCCTACAAAGATGATATGAAGTATACTAGTTACAATTGATGACAAACGTACCAAGACATCGCGTGAATTCCCTTTTCAGAGAACATCACTAACTTCGGATACTACGTAACCACACTTGAAAAAGGACAACTTGGTGGTGTGTTAAACAAGTGTTAGAAATATTTCCAATACTTGTCCACTACGTAACCAAATAACGACTAGACTAAACTTTTGGGATTCACGCGATGCAGCGTGCGGTAATCGGCACTTACCACGAAGAACGCCCCGAAGGCGGTCGCTTTCGCTGTCCTCAGCCAGTCGATTTCGCATTGCTCCTCCAAATATTTTTGCGCCAAAACGTCCCCAAGTCCCGTCAAAAACCCGATCTGCATGGAATTCAACAAAGTGCCGTTCGAACACTTCAACTGTCGATACTTGTAGATCAAACGCCGAAAGGTGCAGCTCATCTTGAATTTTGTACTATTTGCAGCATTTTCCGAAAGAAATTTGTTGAACGAAAATTTTTCGTTGTTTGTCAGTTTGACGGGTTCTCGAATTTTGACTGCCAAAACACCTGCTTGGTTTTGCTTGTTTGATCATAAATGTTTTATTGTTCAGAAATCGTTCGAAAAGAAAGACCCTTTAGCCTGTAGTACAGACCCTGTTCAAATTTAACCAGGGCAGAGCAAAAAATGTAATTTTTCAGATGGAAGAAGTCGAAAAAAATGTATTCCTTCAGATTTAAACAAAGAAGCCCCAGAATGTCTACCTAAAGTATGTATATGAAAAAAATCACTTTCCAACCTGTTGGTATCAACACTCAAAATTCCACCACCGTACCAGAGGGATCATTGAGAACTAGGTGGCAAGTAAAGTGGATATCGTAAAATCCTAGGTTCGAAGTCTGTTAATTTGTTGGTGATTAAGCTTTTACGCAAGAAACAAGGCTATAACTGCTGTTATGGAAACTGCCTCTTATCGGTTGAACACTCCCGTTTGTAGTAAACTGCTTGACTGTACTGTGAAATGAAGTACGTGATCGAATTTTATCCGGAAAACGCTGAGCGTAGATGTTAACAGCATCATCAAGATTCCTGCCTGCTTCTCCATAAATAAAAATCATTTCTATTTTTTCTTCCACTAGGATTAAATTAATTAATTGACAAAATAATATTTTTTTTTACCTTAAATGAGGTATTTTTTTGAAAATACTACAATAATCTTTTAAATTAAAGGATTTAATGCTGCAGGTAAAAAGTGACCATGGTGCGCAATTGATAATTATCACCGAATGAAATAATGTATAAAACTTAAACCAAAGGAAACTTAAATATTAGTTAAAAAATCGTGGATACAGATTGAATTTAATAAGATAATTAGAAGAATTGTATAAGAAGAAAAATTGAACAAAATTGATTTTTTTTTCATTACAGCGCCATCTATTACAAATATGGATTTAGTTTTTGACAATTCCGTAAGTATAGGTTATGTTTTAGTGTCATTTTAATATAAAATGTCATGCCAGTTATAAGGGAAATTATTTGTTTTTTCGATAAACGCATCTCAATAAAAGTTATAGGTTACAACATTGTCCAAACTGGGGTACTAATGACCATAAGTGATATTGTTGCTCAAACATATTTGGAAAAGAAGGAAAAAATCGATATCAGACGCACTGGACGATTCACAGAACTAGGAGTATTTTTAATAGTATTTTTTTTTATTATATAGGTGAACATTAGAAGTGATAACTTTTTAGGGTCCCATGTGTTCCATATGGGTACAATTCTTAGACTCAGCGTTTGAGACAGAGACCAAGAAAGGAAAGCACCTGATAAAAATAGCGTTTAAAAAAATGTTCCTCGATCAAGTTTTCTTCGCGCCTACCATGATGGCAGTGGTGATATACAAGCTAGCGCAGCATGACGAAAAATCCAACACGGAAAAAAGGATCAGGACTTACTTTGATTTGATGCTGAAGAGTTACGCAATATGGCCTTTCATACAGGTGGCGAATTTTTATTTCGTGCCTTTGCAGAAACAGGTCTTCGTCAGTCAGAGTTGCGGATTGGTGTGGAACACCTTTATGTCCTGGCGCGCCAATAACTTGTAAAAAAATAAATAAACGATTTTTTCTACTCCCACCTCTAAAACGCCCTTTATCGTACGTGTTTCCATGACACTAAATGACCTGTTAAATACACATTGACAAGTTGTGGCTTTATGGCGCTTTAGTCACGGGCTCAAGTTAGCAACAGGTTTTTAGTCACGGGCTGAAGTTAGTTTTAAGTTAGTTGGCAGTTGTCAATTGTCATACAATCGTTAAAATAAATTGCCTTGTAAAATAATACTAAATATGAAAATTATTTTATTATCTCAATGCAAAAACACAAAAGTATTAAATAGTTTCTCAACGCCAATATTTGAAAAGTTTATATGAGCATTGTGCTGGCCTTTTAATTTCGCCGGCAGTAAACTATAACTTAAATTCAGGCACGGACTCCACTGTAAAGTGTGCATAAAACATTTTCTTTACTTTCACTGTGAAAAACTGTCAATTTTCAAGAAATACATTTCGATTTATAACCTTTATAATCTGTGTTTATAAAATTTGACATTTGAGGGTGACACACAGATTCCCGTATTGTTTCATAGATGGCGCTCTATACAATTTTTTGATTTAAATCATTTTAAGATAATAATTAGTATTTGTCGTAGAAAAAGTATAGTATGCACCTCGTTTATAAACTTTTCTATACACTCACTAATTTAAGCATGTATAAAATGGCGTTTATCAAACTTGATACATAATATACTATTAATTGAAAGTTAAATTGATCTAATTTGTTGGGTAGGTGTATAAACCATAGAGATACAAATAAAAGAATGCGTGAATTTTTTTTATTTTTTTAATTACATTTTTTTGTACATATCATACACATTATTACCAGATTTGCTATAGTACTGATAAATGTATAATTTGTATTATAACATCAACATATTATAAAATATTAAATTGTTAAAACATTTCTATCAGCTATATATTTAAAGAAATACATATTATTATAGCTTTGACATCAAATAATAAAAAAAAATATATAAAGAAATTTTAGTTTTATCGTTGCATCCCCATCATTCGTTTCCATTTTGAAAGTCCATCATGCCACAGTTTTGTGGACGTTATACTTCTACCCAGAGTCTCTGTATATTTTTTGACAACTATTGTCCAAGAAGTGTCGGGAAAATATTTCTTACAACACACGTTTCAACAATATTGCAATGTCTCTGTCCTTTCTATCGAAAATAATGTCTATGGGAAGCAATAGACCAATCACAGCGCGGCATTCTCTGCTGCACCTAGTGTGGTGTGGTGTGATGTGCTCTGATTGGTTTATCGCTTTCTATGGAGATCATTGTCTATGGAAAGTAACGTCAAAAAGAAAAAATGAATTTTCCCAAATCTTTTTGTACAAAGTAACTGTCAAAAATTTGAAGGGACTCCACATATAACTATAGTTTGAAAATAGGCCTTAACGCAAATATAAATAAAATGAAATATTTATATTTATTTATCTATTTTTTATAAATAAAAAAAATTGTTAATAACACCTTTTTGTAAATATTCTACCTGCAAATAATTTGATTGGGCCAAATCTACTCTATAGATACTTATTAGGTTAAATATACTATTTATTTGAAAAAAACATCAACTTGCATACAATCAAAACCATGAAAAAATCCATAATCTTGATTGTAGACAAACTGTCAAAAAACTAAAAATCATTGCTCAAGAATCTTTAAAAATTGGCGTAGTCGTCGCATTTATGCTTTATTGTTGTAAATGCCGTTTTGGTGGTAAAATGCCCTTTTTCCGAGGTTCAACAGCATCTGTCTGTTCCTGTTGGCTCCTTCTTTTGCCTTTTTTCGGGCGATTTCCAAAAGCAGCCTGTTGCGTAGCACATCCAGGGAGTTCACTATCGATAGGGATGCCCCATGGTCCAGCCGTCCCGCTCGTTTGTTTCTGGGCTCTGGGCTCAAGTAGTTCTGAAAGAGAGAATGTTTTTTTTATTTTTTTACCACTGGAAAAATCCGATTCCGAAAATATTAACAGATTTTATTTCTTAGCTTAAAATCAAATACAGTTGAAACAAAATGATTGACCTAATATTGTCATTAAACTAAATATTAATCTTTCTTTAAATAAGCAGATTTTATTATTGCCTCTAACTCTTTTTTCGGTTGAACACTCCCGTTCGTATTAAACTGCTTGACTGTACGGTGAAATGAAGTACGTAATCGAATTTTTTCCGGAAAACGCTGAGCGTAGATATTAACAGCATCATCAAGATTCCTGCCTGCTCGAACAAAATTGATTTTTTTTTCATAACAGTACACGGTGGTCAAAACTTAAGTATAGGACGAACAAAAATGCCAACCAAAACTGATAGAATATTTTGATTATATACCCTTTTGGTAACACTAACATGTATTTATCAAAATCCCAGCAGCTTTGCAAACTTTTTTGTTTTTCTATTTCTATATATTATTTTGCAATTATTGTACTAAAACTACCTGTACAATTTTAATAAAATTAAGCAAAATAATAAACTTTGTATCATTTAAATTACTTTACTCCCCAGTATTAATTTATTGAGTCACCTATTATTTTTTACCACTCAAAACAAAACATAACAAAAAAAACGAAGATTTATATCTTAAATATTTTTTATAACAAAAAATACTGGAAGTTTGTCTATGAAATAATTACAACTTGCAAATTTTGTAAAACAATAATTAAGGTGGTTATGAAAAAAATTGCTATACGTTATAACGCAAATGAAATTTTGCTTTAGTTGTTTATTTAATGTAGGTATACTTTATAAAGTTAAAAATAGTATTTTAAAATGAAAATTAAACCGAAATTCAAGTTAAGCCATGAAGAAAATCGAAAGAAGGTATGTGCTGGCTGTGGAGACAAAATTGTTTTTGGTAATCGAAAAAGTCAGAGTTTAGGGTTTCTGAGAAAATATAAAAATTACTGCAGACTTTTTCAAACGAACACTTTAACTTAAGTGATTCAAAATTACCTACTTCAATATGGTAAAAACGGTATTTTTGCATAGCCACAATTGCCAAATTTTCAAAATTTAGAAATTGCAAGAGAATTTCGCGGCAGCCAAGAATGTATGTGCTTTATCTGCAAAATGGCAAGATATAAAGGGCATAAAAAATTATTAAGGAAAGATGACGTTTTGATATGCTCTTCCTTTCTAGGGAATATCGCTAGATGTAAGAAGCATGTTTGTACAGAGACTGAAGAATTTAAAAATACTGTTTTCATGTTAAAACAATTCCATGTAAAACCCAAGAAAAAGTTTCACTGAAAATTTAAGGCAAGCAGTAATCGATTTTGCTTCAAATAATCTTTAGTTATTTATTAGTTTTGTATTAGGTACCTTAAAACAATAAATAAGATATTGCAAACTGTATTTTACATTATTTTGTATTTATAATGTAATTTATCCATATTTCAGTCATGTATCTGCCAAATTTTTAAAAACATTTGATAATGGTGCTCGAATCATTTAATTTTTATTTTAAACATTTTTTTCGTAAAATGCATACCTACTAACTGAGATATTTCAAAGTTTTTATAATAATTTGAAAAAAAATGTCTTAACTTCTTTATTCTATGGTATCTTGAGGACGATTATAGCCTTTAACTTGATAGTGTCAAACTTCAGTTTTTGCTTTATTCAAATTTTCCTACAAACCTCTAATTTATATTTAATTTTCCGGTGCTGGTACTGTAGAATTCCTTTTTTATGCTTTTTATGCTTAAAGATAAGACCATCGTGGAGGAGAATATTTCTGTACAAAAGAGCACACAAAAGGGACAGTAGATATGCCACGAAAGAGCGGGATATAATTATTTTCTTTGAAATTTAATTACTAACTATTCTAAAAGGAGTTTTGCTTTCATAAAACACAACGCGTTGCGACCAGACTTGTTAATTAAATTGTTTAAAAGTTGTTTCGTAAATATTTAAAAAGTTCTGGATTTACAGAAAAACGCTTGTTTGTTTGTTCAGCTCTTTTACACGCTTCAAATTAAGTGGATTCACTTGTAACAAACAATTTGTATACACGAACAAATTGGCTGTTTGAACACACTTTTGGTGCCGCTTCAAGACATTCAACAACAGATGGCAGTTTTCTGACAAAATAAAATAAAATACTTCTACATAATTTAATGTTTTTTATTGTTTAAAAGTTAATAAAAAATATCGTCACCCAATAAACAATTTTGTTTTGTATCATCCAAATTATAAAACCTAAATATCTTAATTTGGTTGCATAAATATTTATATCACTCTTATATACCCCTTAAAGAGCTTATTTGGGTAGTTTATGAAGGTTATCGGTACCTATTTTAGTAACACTATAAAACCCAAGTTTTATAACTGGAGATAACAGGAATATCATGGAAACCACTATATAACTTCCTAAAGAACTGCTACCGGCTTTTTTTCTTTTTTTAATATTTCTCTCTCCCTCAGGCATATTTAAAATATATATTTCTTCAGGTACGCTTTTTTTACCTTGGTTTGGTCAATTAGGTTGTTTTTGTAATACAATTCAATTAATATTTATTTTATGTAAAAAACAATCATGTCGGAAAGAATCTATCAACCTTGAGCCCTCTTATATTGCTCATGGTAATTTTATATAACCTAAGGTACTATAGTTCAGTTTTATAGGACTATATAAGTTACTTAACGTGTTGTTATATAATTTTAAAACTCTTATATACATTGTAGTAACTGTCGTTACTACAAGTGATGTTATAAAACTTTTGATAGGCAACCATCTAACTGCTCTAACCGCCATTTTTGCCTGCAGTAATAATGGTTTTAACGCAATGGAATCAGATTATTTCACTAAACATTCGATTTCAATTACTAAACATTTTTGGTTTATTAAGCACATAAAAAAATTAATAACTTTCAATTTTTATTTTTTAGTTTTATAAAACAGGTAACCGCAAACTTTATAAAACTCCTTTATGAACCTACTGGTAATGGTTACTAAAAGTTATATAAAATGTTTGTAGAAACAATTATATACTTAACCTAATTATATACCTAGAGTTTGCAGTAACCTTATATGGCCATTATAAAACTAGTAGACTAAATGGTGATTTTATAAAACCTTGTTAAACTCTTATATAATTTGACAACTCCTTATATAACCTTTATATAACTTTTAGTTTATTTTAAGGTAACTTTGAACAATTGTTACTTGGGTATCTAAGCTTTCTTCCTAAATTATTAAATATCAAAAATGAGCTTTAAAAGCTTTGATAAATATTAATATTTATAATATTCCATATTGAAAGAAAGAACATAATATCTTAAAAAACCGGATGCACGAAAGAAAAATAAAACAAGAAACAAAACTTCAACTTTTATTATTTTTTAACATACAACATGGGCCAAGCATAAATCCTTCATATTATTTGAGCTCCTTATTCTTCGTAAGTATCAACTAAAGATTTTAAATATACATTGTTTTTGCGAATTTGTTTATCATAATCCATTTTTCTTGCATGATTTTGTAAAATGTGGATCGGGTGCTGAACTGACAACACTGTAGCAGGGTCTCTCTTTTGAAAACGGGTTCTTCGAAATGGTACCTTAAAAGCAAACAAAAATTAGTTTTTAGAAAAAAATGTTATTTTATTACTTAAAGAATTGATTATATACAGGGCTTCAGAACTAATTTTTATATCAATAAATTACTGGATTTTTTTTTAGTTTATTTTGTTGTGCATTAGTTGAGAAACACCCTGTATAATATTATTATTCAGTGTTAAAAGTTATGTATATACTGCATTGTTAGTGTGGTAGTATGGTGGCTTATTTTATTTATTAGTGTAATAAGTTTTATTAGTGTATTTTGTTAAATTTAACAAAACTTTACTTACTTGGGATAATTTTCAAAAAAGCGAAATTAAATTTGGCCTGAGTAATTTAATTACAACCTTAAAAATTTTATTATATCAACGTATTTTTGCCGGCCAATGAGTTTTCATATTTAATTAGGTTCTAATAAAAATTAAAATCTAATTAAAAAATTCATTTTGCTGAAAGTTAGTTAGACAGTTTTATTTTTTATTCAGAACAGTTAAACGTACCAATAGGAAGGCAATCAAAGAAAACAAATTTCCAAACTATGACAAGATAAAGGAAGTTGAGAAAAAATGTTACCCGAAGATCCAGAACGTCTTGAAGATGTCTTTTGTATGTCTGTATTATGCCTGAACGTCTGAAGATCTAAAAAAGACGTCTGGAAGACGTCTTTTGATAGACGTCTTAAAGATATCTTCATTTAATGTTCTAAGACATCTTACCGCCGTTTATTTTTATTAATTTTTTTGATAAAATAGTGAATTTTGACAAGTCAAAAGATATAATTAGGTACCATTTTATTTTGGTGTAATAGAAACAACATTAATGTAGGATTTTGAGTTTTTACAACGATGATGGGTAGGGTAACTGAATAAATACGAGTTGTGTTCAGAAAATATCGGGAATTTTCGTTTTTTGAAACAAATATTTATTTATTCGTCTACATTAATGTTGCCGCCTTCAAAATAGTCCCCATTGGATATTATGCACATGTGCCAGCTCTTCTTCCAATACTCGAAACACTTCTAAAACTCGATCTTTGGGATAGCCTTTAGTTCTTTCAGCGATGCGCTTTTAATGTCATCTATGCTTGCAAAACGACGGCCCTTTAAGGTTCTCTTTATATTTAGGAATAGGAAAAAGTCAGACAGAGGCTTGTCTGGCGAATAGGGAGGCTGGGGTATCATTGCAGTATTGTTTTTGGCCAAAAATTTTGTTCAAAATTTAACAATTTTAGAGCGAATTGTTAACTTCATGCTGAAAATGATGAGCAACCTTCTGTTCCTTTCCCCAGTAAGTTTTCTGTAACTGTAAAAACGTGCTAAAAAATTTTAAAAAGGACTTCTTAGGAAAATAAACACAGCCATGTAAATCTTAACATTAAAAATACTTTAATACATAATACAACACAAAAATTGTGACACACATCCTAAAAATAACGATTTAAATAAATAAATAAAAATTAATACTGTTCAAGAATAAATAAATAAAAAAACAAATTTGTTGATTTTTCAATTTAATAATAGTTTTTTTTCTGGATATCTGGTAAATTGTTTAAAAAGTTTCTGTTCCTTTGTGATTTCGATCTTTGCTTTGCCTGTCTAAGGGCTGAATATAAGGTACTAATAGGAGCATTAATTGATAGTCCAGAGTCGTACTGTCTAGTTTTTCGGACGAGTGGAACCTTAAAAAAATAAAAAAATATGTTAATAAAATATACCTACAGGATGTTTCATAATTGGATGATGTGCTAAATGGGGTCAATCCTTGGATGATTTTAAGGAAAAAAGAAGTTAAATGACTCCTGTATATATATAAATATATATATATATATATATATATATATATATATATATATATATATTAGGGTGGTCCTTAGCTATAGAGGTAAAAGATATACTTTTAATATTGAATTGTCCCACCCCCCCCATTTTGTTAAAGAGAAAGAGAAAAAAAATTACACAAAAATTTGAATGGCCAAATCAACCCCTTCACGTGCCTGTGAGGGGTTGAATTTTGACAAAATCTCCAATTTTTAAGGTTTTTGCCATTTACTCCGCAAAAATCGCATATCTCAAAAAATTTTACTTATTAAAATCTTTTCGTCTATTAAAGGTCTATAAAAATTGTCTCTTGAGATTTTATCCTAGAAAGCACCATTTCGTGGAAAATTGCATTTGTGCATAATTACCACAAATTTAAGGTTTGTGTAGGAAATGGTGCTTTCTAGGATAAAATCTCAAGAGACAATTTTTATAGACCTTTAATAGACGAAAAGATTTTAATGAGTAAAATTTTTTGAGATATGCGATTTTTGCGGAGTAAATGGCAAAAACCTTAAAAATTGGGGATTTTGTCAAAATTCAACCCCTCACAGGCACGTGAAGGGGTTGAGTTGGCCATTCAAATTTTTGTGTAATTTTTTTTCTCTTGCGTTATAACAAAATGGGGGGGTGGGACAATTCAATATTAAAAGTATATCTTTTACCTCTATAGCTAAGGACCACCCTAATATATATATATCTCCAGAATAAAGCTGTTGCGGACCTTAGTTGATATACACTTTTTTATTAGAATCATCCAAGATAAGACCAGTGCGATTTTCAGGACAACCTATATAAAAGTGCAAAACACTATAATAAAACTAACATAACAAATATTTTTCGTTAGGAAATTGGGTATTTTCATGCTAGTTCATTAGGTATTAATTAAACTACACAACTATCTACAAAACACTTTCAATAAAAAGTTTGTCAAATTTGGGTAAAATATACAGTCTTATGTTCAATATTAGAAACATGCTTACATATGTTTTTGTTTCATTTTTTTATTAACTAATACATGCAACTAAAACCATGTCCATTCTACTCATTACCAACAAAGAGTAGTTAAAAATATACTTACGAATGCAAAACGAAAATTTATAAATTTTTATAAAAACATAGAGAATATTTAGAACCCTTATAGAACCATCAAAACAAATTGAAATACCGCAGATACTATATGTGGAGAGGAATTTTTCCGACACACACGCTCCGTTTTGATCAATTGGTCACGTTTTCATAACGCATTCCAATAAGTTTTGCAAACAAAATAAACCAAATTAAATTGAAATAACAATATTTATTGTATTAACTAGTTTTGAGAAGACGAAAGAAAAATGACAACTCAAAAATAGCAATTTTGTATGTTTTTATTACAATCTACATTTAATTTCGTTAGCTATTTTGTCGACTGAAAGGAATTTTGTTTGCGGAACTTTCCTAAGCGGATTAAAAATTAAAGTTTACCCAGAAATTCGAAACGGTGTTTTTTTAAATAAATATATGCGACTTGAAAGGGGTAAAAGTGGAAAATTTTATCACGCTAAGGAAGTGACGTCACAGCGTTAAACCGTCTCACGAAAAATATGAAACGCACTGTAGGATAAATTTAAAAATTAGTCGTAGAAAAATTTTCGAAAATGTACGAAATGCCCAAAATTTTTGTATTTTTAAAATTTGCAAAATTATTAGTTTTTATACTTTTTGACATTCGAAAGATTTTATTTTGGATTTTTAGATATTTTTAAACCAACCAAAAATTTTCTAAATTTTCAAAATCGTTAAAATACTTCATAATTTTTTTATTTTTTTATTCTTAAAACCATATATCGCCGACCATATGCATATCACGATTTTTATTTTGTTATAACATGAAATTTTTCTTTTAATTTTCAAAATTTCCTAAATTCTTAAAAATTTTATTTTTCAAAATGTTTAAAAAATTTGAATTTATAATATTTGTACCTACTGAGTTTTTTACTTTTTTGTCATTTGAAAGATTTTATTTCCGATTTCCAAACATTTTAAAAAATTCCAAAATTTTCTTTACTTTCAAAATTTTTTAAATCAATAAAATATTCCAAATTTTAAAAGAATTTCAAATTTTTATTTGTACTTTATTGTCATTTGACATATTAAATTTAGAAAAAAAAATCATTTTTTAAATTTTTTCAAAAGTTTTCAGCTTCAGGTACATATTTAATTTTTTACTTTTTTGTCATTTGATATTTTTATTTTATTAAAAATAAATATTTAACATTTAAAACACGAACAAATTTTCCAAATTTTAAAAAAATTCCAATTTTTAAAAATTTTAAAATTTTTATTTGTATTTTTTATTATTTCCTTGTCATTGGATAAATTTTATTTTATTAGAAGCAAATATTTAACATTTAATGCATACATTTTTTTTTAAACAAATTCAATTTTTTTTTTATTTTTCAAAATGTATTTTTTAATTTTGTTACTATTTCGTTATTTCATAGATTTTGTTTTATTAGAAATAATTATTTAACATTTAAAACTTGAACAAATTTTCCAATTTTAAAAAATCAAATTTTTAAGTGTATATAATTTGTTTACTTCTTTGTCGTTGATATTTTATAAGAAACAAATATTTAAACTTTAAATTTTAAAACAAATTCAATTTTTTTTTCAATTTTCCATTTTTTTTTTAATTTTCAATTGAATTTTTAAATTTTTTTACTTTTTTGTTATTTCATAGATTTTATTTTATAATATTTAACATATAAACATGAAATTTTTTTTCAAATTTGAAAGATTCAAAACTTTTAATTGTATTTAATTTTTTGATAGATTTTATTTTATTAGAAACAAATATTTAACATTTAAATATTAAAAAAATCCAAATTTCAAAACAAATTCAACTTTTTTAAATTTTTCAAAAAATGTCCAAATTGTATTTAATTTGTTGCTATTTCATAGATTTTATTTTATTAAATAAATTATACTATCTCTGCCTTTTTTCAGTTGTCCATAACATTTTTAGATTCTTAAATAAGAACTTAAAATAACAGAATAATAATAGAACATTTTTCAATTATGTAGCTCCTCAGTGCTAATAAAGAATGTGAATAATTTTTTAAGCGTCATATAAACAGCTTTGTTATAAAATACACATATAAAAGAACTATTTATAACTTTGACGCGAGAATCGCTATTGTTATTTTGCGCGTTACAAACAAGCACCATGTTTTATGTGCATTTATTGCGTCACAAAATTCTTATTTGTATTATTTTTTTACTTCTTCGTCATTTGAAAGATTTCATTTTATTAGAAATAAACATTTAACATTTGAAACACGATTCCTAACCTCAAATCCCACCCCAAACCTCGCCTCACCTGATTCTCCAGATCGTTGGACTCCATCTCGGTGAGCAAATAGAACCTGGGGTCTGTGATGCCGGTCCAATCGCTGTTGGGCCGGTACTTGGCCGTCAGCCTGGGCAGAAGGTACTCCAGCGTCTCTGGGTCTGCAGCCATGTTAAGAGGCTCCAACATGCGCCCCGCGCCCTCGGCGCCCGCGTCCGGCGCCTCTGGTCGCGGCTCGGCGCGCCCGGACAGCGCGGTCATCAGCGTTGCCGCGCAAACAAGGTAGACGGGCGCACGCATGCTCTGATCCTGGAAAAAAGATTCGAGAGTTAAATAAAAGTGTAATAGTAGATATTATTAATATATTTTTATCCGAAATCGGCAGTAAAGTAGTCAACAGTTCCACTTTACTGCCACATGAACATAACCTGTTTTAAATGGAACCCTATAAGTACAGTTACGGAAAATAGTAATGTCCATTAAATGAACATTGCTATTTTCCGTAACTGTACTTATAGGGTTCCATTTTCCGTAAATGTACTTTGCGACACATCACTTTAAAGAAAATGCAATTTCTGAGTCATTGAAGAAAAATTAAAATCCGATCATCAAAAAAATTAAATGTTGTTTAATAAAAATAATAATAATTTTAAAGGAAAAAAAACTGTATTTTTCCGTTTTTCCGTTTTTTTCCAGGCCTTGGAAAAATTGTCCTTTTTGGGAAAACATGTTTTTGGAATTTTTTTTTTGGAAAATATACACATTTGAAAAAATGAATCCATTGGAACCGAAGTGGTTTTGAAAAAAAACATTGGGAAAAATTTGAAAATTTTTTGAAAAATTGACTGCCTTTTTTTTGTATTACCCTTTGAATAAAATGAAAAAAATGCACAAGTAAATTTTCTAAAAAAATTCTCAATTTTTCCCGTTCTTTTTGAAAAAAACAAATTTTTTTGTCGCCGCCTTATAATTTTTTGGAAATTTTAAAATCCCAACTTTTTTTGTTGCTTTATTTTTGTTTCCCATACCTTTTTTTTAATTTTTTCTTTCTAGTGAACTTTTCACAACACATTTTAAGATTTTAAACAACACTGCATAAAGAAATGTCACTGCAACCGTCAAAAGCGAAAAGCGTTACAATAGAGTGGCTAAACCGTATATTGTTCTAAATTAAGTTTTAATTATCAAGTCACATCTATTTTTAACAGTTTTGTTTTTGGTTCACCTTGATATATTTATTTTTGTGGAAAATATGGATTTTAAAAAAAAAACCATTGCAATTTCCAATAGTTTCCTGTATGAAGAACTAAGGTTGCTATGGTCCATCCATAGCCTATGGAGGATGACAGTGATAGTTTTGTTGAATCATCCCATACTTGGACATGTCATATACTGTCCGTTCAGGCTAAGTTGAGCGGTCTAAGGAATGTCACCCCGTCCATCATCTCTATGTTTAGGCACAATTAAATACATGTATTTCGGTAACCGCTCTGTACGAACAAACGGCAAGCCGCGGCACTGATAAATCATCTTCTTGTTACCTAAATCTCGCGACGATTGGACGTTTAATTTAATTAACGGCCACATGATCCCCTACCAAAGCGCTCAACTTAGCCTGAACGGACTGTATACACGGCTTTCAAAAGCTATCAAATTGTTTTGTATATTATAAACGTACCTGTATTTTTTAGTAATTTTTAAAATGTGAGCGATTCTTCATTAATGTATCTACAATATTCTTTAATATTTGTTTAAATCCGAAATCAAATAAAAAAGTTATTTGCGATTGAAATTCATCGAAAATTTGTGTGGATCGATTATTTTGCCTGTGAGTGTATTACAAAACAATATAACTATCTTACACAAACAAATGACATAAATGACCTAAAATATTAAAACAGTTATAAAATAAAAACAATTAACATTAGCATTTACGCAAAATGCAAATATTTCTTGAATATGTCTCAATTTTATTTAAGAAGTAAATAAGATATTATTTAGACGTGAATAAATTCAATTAATAACAAAACAAGATTCTTTAGAAATAATTTCTCTTTTATTAATCATTTTCCATTCAGCCAAATTAAAAAGGTGCTGATGGTAGGAATTAAATAAACAGGCATAAAAAGGCCTAGAAAACTAAACTTAAATATTTTTTATTTTAATATAAATTAGTATAAAAAAGATGCAATAAAATAAAACGCCCATCTGCAAAACAGCTTTTAATCTATTTTTCTCAAACCAATATTTTCTTTCTCCGAAAGGACAATTCTTTTTATCCCTTATCCTAACAAATGAATGGATGTAAGGATTTCGCGTTAAATTACAAAACTTGATAATCTCAAAAAATAAGGAATAAATTCAAAGTTTCACGCATATAGAAGGATTAAGATCCTGTCGCAGATTTATAAAGGTTTCTTTTTTACTCACATAATTTCCTTTAAAAGTAAAATCCTGCGAAACTTTTTCACCTATAGCCGCTTTTATACATATCTTTACTCTACGAATGATAACTCATAACTAAAATTGTTATGTTTACAAACTTTATTGTAAGTGATATCAATGAATTGCTGTCTCATTATTTATACGAATTTGGGATTTCTATGACGATTAGATATCTTTTTTCGGCTTTCACATGAAATATTATGAAATATTGCCAAGCCAGACTTAAATACATATAGGTATACTAGTTATAAATGTAATTATAATGAAATTGTGGTTATGTTTAAATTATTGTAGGTTACATTAAACGGTTGTCAAGTTGAGTTGTCCAAATTCTTATAAAAAGTAGTTAAATATAGGTGACTACTGCTTAGCTGAAAATAATGTGTGATTTAATATTTGTAAAACCAAAAATGTCCATAAGAACCTAAGAACTTAAAAATTCTTTTACTTTAGAATCTAATATTATTTATTTTATAATATATAATTTGCTGACACGGAATTTTTAATATTTCATGTATTCTATAAATAGCGAAATGTCGTAATTCATAAAAATCTAATAGATATATAAAGTTATCAACGTTATTACATGTGGAAAGAACTTTTTTCAGTGCCCAGCATAAAATTGATTTACATATCGAATATAAAATTTAAAAAATGTTTAAAATAAAAATTAAATGATTCGAAGGGGGAAATCAATCAGTACTAAAATGGGTCCTCATACTCTCCTCCTTATAGGGGGAACAGGGGGTAACTTTAAAATTGCCAATGGAAGACCCTATTTTTTATTGCAGATTCGAATCATTCGACTAAAAATAGATAGATTTTGTCTAAAACATTTTTTCATATTTGTAATAGATGGCGCTGTAATGAAAAAAAAATCAATTTTGTTCGATTTTTCTTCTTATACGAGCCCTAACCACATAATGTTCGGACACTTCATAATTTATACAGAAATTTTTTTCGTGAATACTATCTAAAAATTATAAGAAGTTATGAAAAATTCAGCTTATTTTGGCATATACCCCTCGAAGCGATTTTTATTTTTAAAAAGTTTACCTTTTATTTTTAGCTTTTAAAAAAAGGCTAACTTTTTAACTTTTTTTTGCATGAGTAAAAAAAGTTATAAATGGGCCCATTAAAAAGAACATAAAATATTATACAAACCCTGAAAATTTGGTAAAAATTGTATAAATAATAAAAAAGTTATAGCGATATATATATCTGCAAAATCTCCCGTTTCCTAAGAAAATTGCAAAAACTCTTTAAAAATAGCATTTTTAAATTACTTATACTTTTTTATAACTTATTTATTTTTTACCAAATTTTCAGGGTTTGTATAATATTTTATGCTCTTTTTAATGGGTCTATTTATAACTTTTTTTACTCATACAAAAAAAAGTTAAAAAGTTAGCCTTTTTTTAAAAGCTAAAAATAAAAGGTAAACTTTTAAAAAATAAAAATCGCTTCGAGGGGTATATGCCAAAATAAGCTGAATTTTTCATAACTTCTAATAATTTTGAGATAGTATTCACGAAAAAAATTTCTGTATAAATTATGAAGTGTCCGAACATTATGTGGTTAGGGCTCGTACGATTCTGCAATAATTTTTCTATAAAAATATCACTTTTTTGATAATAATTATCTTATTAAATTAAATCTGATTTTTTTAAGTACCCACGATTTTTTAACTAATATTTTAGTTTCCTTTGGTTTAAATTTTATACATTATTTCATTCGGTGATAATTATCAATTACGCACCATGGTCACTTTTTACCTGCCAGCATTAAATCCTTTAATTTAAAGGATTATTGTACTATTTTTAATAAAAATCCCTCATTTAAGTTTAAAAAAACATTATTTTGTCAATTAGTTAATTTAATTCTAATTGAGGTATAAAAAAATAGTATTTAGTTATAAATAATAATTATTATTGAGGTACAAAGAAACTATTTATACATAGTTTGGCATTATTTAATCAATTTAGTTCGAAGATTAATTTGCAAACAAAAAGACTCCCTTTCGTTAAGCAGCTATTCATAATGGATTTTTTAACAGTGGAAGAAAAAATAGAAATGATTTTGATTTATGGAGAAGCAGGCAGGAATCTTGATGATGCTGTTAATATCTACGCTCAGCGTTTTCCTGATAAAAGTCGATCACGTACTTCATTTCACCGTACAGTCGAGCAGTTTACTACAAACGGGAGTTTTCAACCGAAAAAAGGAGTTCGTCGAGCAACAATCACAGGTGGAAATAATGAAATTAATGTATTAGCAGCAACGGCCGCTAATCCTCATGCAAGCACACGAGAATTATCTAGAGATTTGGGAATATCCCTGTATATAGACACTTTTATCATTTATTATTTTTAGCTTTTAATTATAAATATTTCTGGTTTAAATTTCCGATAATTAAGTCTAAATTTAAATTGGCTAAAAATAATTAAAAAATTATCATGTATTTTTGTTTTCATTACGAAATAATAATAAATTTGCTTTGCCGAAATACGTAAAAAATTGATCATTTATTGTATGGATGGAATAAACGAACAAATTTTCGTATTTTCGACACACCAAAATAATTAATATTTCGAAATGAAAACAAAAATAAATACAAATGTACATATCTCATACATTGGCTCGTGAAGGAAATTTCCTTTAGTATTAATTTTTACTGATATACAATAATTCATAAAAAATAACACATAGTTCAGTATAGTTTTAACAGATAACTTTAAAATAGTTTTTGATAAATTATAATAATAATTATAATACAAGATATTTTGACGAGGTCATTATTTTTTTGATGATTTTCTAAAATTAGATTATGGTTTATTTTTAACTTAATTGTATTATTATTAAACTCTTTATTTGATTAGTAATTATAATTAATAAAAGGTAAAATCATCGTTTATATTTTCTGTATACAGTACCTATCATTGAGTAAAGAAGTTACTCAATGGTACCTATAGTAAACACTACTAATAATTGTTAATTTAGTTTATCACAGGCAAATACATAGTTTTAACAAACGGCTTATTAAATAAATTTTATGCAAACTCCAAACATTTGGACTGAGTAAATTTTGTACATTGTTTCTTTAATTTACAGAGGCTTTAGCAGGTTAATTTATTTCGCTTCAACTTTACATGCTCATCTAAATTTTAGAAACTAATTGAAGATTGTTAGAATAAACTTTTGCAATAAATTAAGACTTAAAGTAGTCGAAGTAAATTAATTTGTCTCTAGTATTTTTGTTAAACAAAGCATAATGCCTGTAGATATGCTACAAAACGCCACTGGTTATGTATTCAATCTATATGCAAAATAGATAAGCCCTTATGTCTTTAGGTATTAACTACTAGACTGCCTAAAGGTATTTTTTTAAGATCAAGCTAAAGGAACGGTATTGCAGATAAAAAATAAATATTAAGAAAGTCATGAATATTGTTTGATGCCATATAGAGAATGGAACTGTTTTGTGATGCAAATATCGGCCAAGCCAAATTATAACAAACACGGGCACACAGGCATCTGTACAGAATAACAGACTATAAAGTGTATAGCATATAAACCGAACAAAAAGCGAAATTCAACATCAAAGGTACCAACAAAATACCTAATTTTACTGCGAATATTTGAAATCGCCAAACTAGGTATTTTCAACCACATTATTTTATGCAATGTATTCTCTACATCCACATTTTAACAATAATTGTTATAATTATTATAATAATTATTATTCAGTACCTAAACCCAAAATGACATGATTTCAAAAATGATCCAAGTTTTGATGTTACAAGCCAGTTATTATTTTAAAAAAGTGAAGCAAAAAGTCATTATGCCCAAAGATAATATTATCATTGATTATGCCCTTGTAGATATACAGTGTGTCTCCGGATTAAGTTTACAAGAGAAACAAATTCTTATTTTTGATTTTTCGAAAAAAAGTCATTCCTGATAATATGTTTTTATTGTCAGAAAAATATTATTTACGCGGTAAAATTTGCGATTTTATCTACAGGGTGTTCAAAAATTAGGAAAAGATGAAATCGATTCAAGATAAAAGAACATTTATTTTTAATTTTTTTGTATTTTTTTATAGGAGAAAGTTGTTTGTAATTGAAAAATCAAAAATAAAAATATAATTAAGCTCTGGAAAAACCAAAGAAAAATCAACTTTATTATTTTTGTCTCAGATTTTGTATTCAGATTAAGTTTTTAATTACAAACAACTTTCTTTTATACAAATTTTCAAAAAAATTAAAAATTAAGTTACTTCCCCCTTGAATAAAATTTATGTTTTCCTAATTTTATGTTATTTTTTCGACAATCAAAACAAAAATAAAAAAATGCCCCTCTTGTAAACTCAATCTGGAAACACTCTGTATAATATAAATTTCGTAATTCATAAAAATTAGAATCATTATTAAAAACAATTTTAGGAAGTTTTTGGATAAATATGAAACAAATCAAGACCCATTGAATTGCTAAATTACTAATTTACCTTAATTACCTACACCTACCCACTCATTTAACTAGCTGTGTTAATAATATAATTTATAATTACATTAATAAATAATAATTCTGCCATATAAACCTATTAAATGATTATGTTTAAACTTTATAGCATAATATAACTAATGTAATTAATGTAAACCCTTCATAAATTTACCCTAATAAAGGAGCAATCTCTTACAACCTTTTTAACTACCTCTTGCAATTGATATTTTATTGAATTGGGCACCCAAACTAATAAAAACATCTTAAAAACATTCAAAAGTAACGCGCAGCGCCGATCGATAAAACAGCACGCTACCTTACCCTTTTATCTGTTGTTTTGACGTTTCCCCTTCGACATAACCTACAAATGCACTTGAATTTCCTTGCGTTTATTAATTAATTCGGGGGATTAAACAATGTCCGAGGCTGGTAGTGTTTGTTTTACTTGCATAAAAGAATATAGGGCGGAGTTGGTGTCTATTAACGAGGTTGACACCGATAAAGTTAGTTATTTGGAAAAATTAGTGGTTTTTGTTCCCAATTTGGTAAGTGTGGTATATAATCAATGTTTATTTGTTTAATTGTTGGCTATATTTGGTTTTTAAAGCATGTAAAATTGTTCATTCTGTGCAAAAATGTTGTACAAAATATAATATAACCTAAAAATGCTATTTTAGTTTTGTTTTTTTTAGTTATTTCACACTAAAACTACCTTTGGTTTAATAATAAATATCAAACATACACCTTCACAGAATCACTCACAAAAATTTATTTTTAGATACAAACAAGTAGTATGCAAATATGCAAAAGTTGCATAAAAATGCTTAAAGTATCGTACAACTTCCACAAATTAATACAAAAATCGCAAGAATCGTGGGGGTGTGAACAAATATTCAGCTCGTCGATAGAAAACGATAAATTTGGCAACAACTTGGATGAGTTTTTGATTCCGAAAAGGGAGTTTGAAGAAATTGAGGAAGAATTTATCGAGGAAGAATTTAAATCGTTCAAAAAAAGAGAGTGATGATCAAAATAACTCATTAGATGCTGAGGATGAAACAACATTCGATGAGGAGTTAAAAATTACCGATGAATTGGAAAAAAATAAGAGTAAAAAGGTTGTGAAACTTTCCAATGGAGTTGTATACTGTATTAGTTGTAATAAAAGGTTTTTTAGGGTAAGTAAATGTTACCTATTTGAATTGTTTCCAAAACAACCATTTTCAGATGTGTACATAATAATATGAATATGAAATATTATTTCAGAGTGTCAAAAACACAGTGTTGCCAAGTTTAAATTATATTTTTGTAAAAATATTGTTTTTAAGATTCAAAGTTACTACAATCACCTGGTAAAATCCCACGGCATGGAAATAAGCAAGGAAGAACGTAAATTTAGTTGTCAGTATTGCGAAAAATCCTTCAAGAAAATGTTTCACCTCTCAGAACACGAAACAACTCACACTGGTGAAAAAAAGCACTCGTGTCCCATATGCGAAAAAAAGTTTCAAAGGGCCTCATCGAAAGCCAGGCACATGAAAAATTATCACGTTGAAGGGGGGAAGACGAAAAAAACCCCTTATTTGTGTACGATATGCGGAAAAAGTTTCCCGTATTCGAATGGGGCGCAAAGACACATGAGGACTCATACAGGTGGGTGAAAAGTACAGTAAAAATGTCCAGAAAGTAAGATATTTTTTCTGTAGGTGAACGAAAATTCCATTGCGAACTTTGCGGTAAAAAATTCGCCCAATCGACTCATCTGCACGTGCACATGCGCGTACATACAGGGGAGAAACCATACGTTTGTGATCATTGCGGTGAAACGTTTTCCATCAGGGCATCTCTACTGAAACACATAAAAAATCACGAAAAAAAAAATAAAACCGACAAAAACATAAAAGAAAACGACGAAGAAGAAGTACAGATAAAAAACAATTACGAAGAAAATAGCGAGGAAGAACTTGAAGCAATGTCAAGTGAATATATTTATAAATAATATCTTTACTGTACAAATTTGTAAATAAACATTTTTTAAAAATTAATCTAATAAATAATAATTCCCCAATTAGTACTAAACATTTACCTCAACTTTGAAACGTAAATATGTGCTTAACTATTTAAATGATCGTTTTAATGGTTGTTTCTCAACTTTCAAACCTTAAATATAAGTTTGCAAGGCATTTTATTAACGGCAGCTGAGCAAATTGCAAAATTAATGCTAATTGTTCTTTTGCAACATTTTACTTGTTTTTTAAGCACTTAGTTTCGAATTATAAGCCTAAATAATTCATGTATTTAAAATGTTTCATTTAAAAAGTTTGTAAAATTATTCATTATGACAATAAAAGTTTTACGGCCTAATTTTGGAATTCGAAATATATAGTAGGGTAGTCTTAAATCGCGCAACGTAATTAATTATTTTAATTAATTTACTCTTAATTCGCACAGTGTTTCGAAATTAAAAAATATTGGGACAATGTCGCACAGTGGTTCAAAAATAAAAGATTATGGGAAAAATTCGCACATAGGTTCAAAATAAAAAAATGTGGGAAAAATTGCAGTGGTTCAAAATTAAAAAATTGTGGAAAAAATCGCACAGTGGTGTAAATTTAAAAATGTGTGGGACAATTCGCACATTGGTTCAAAATTAAAAATGTGTGGGAATTTTTTTTTAATATTACAAAAATGGTAAGAAAAATTCGCACAATATTGGGACAGTTTCGCCACCAAAAATTTAAAAACACGATTTTTATATTAAAATCTTCAAATATCATTCAATAAAATGTATAAAAATATTTGTTTTCAATTCCAAAAAAACAAACAAAATATTCAACACCCCAAACCCTTCTCTGGACATATATATTTTGATAGGAGACATTAATCATTTGTAATGGACAACTTTTTTAATTTGAAAAAAGTTAAACATAATTAAAAAATAATAAAACAGAAATTGTATTTTTCAGACGCGATAACTTGTAAAAATATCCTATAGGCTTTAAACATGGGCGATTTTAAAGCAGACATTATTGTTCTTCTTTCAATGGTATTGTATTGAATCAACAGGATTAGTATCGCTAAAGCATTGGCATATAAAAGGGTTTTATGTGACAGAAACAGTTTTTCAAATAAAACAATTTTAAGTGTGGGAAACGTAATATAATAGGGTTTTATAGTGTGCAAACGTGTTGACAGAATTAATACACAAAATATAGTTATAGTCGACAAGTTATTATTCTGTTAGATTAATAAAATAATACCGTAGGTACATTTTTACTAATTTTTAAATTTTAAAATTGAGTTTTCCACGAAAATTAACTTCACAGATAAAACCGTTTTACTAATAGAAGGAATTTTTCATCATTTAACAAGGTTTTTATTAATTTAGACAACGTAACATTTTTGCTGCATTTATTTTAAATTTTTTAGTTGTTTCCAATTAACATAAATAAATTTTATATAAACATAAAATTGACAACAAAAGAGAATTAATGTTGCGATATGAAAATACATTTAAAAACAAAGTGTAAAAGTTCTTTGAAAAATAGCCATTTAGAAAAACCTTAATTTTGTTCTTTGTGGAAAATAGAGCTCGTTTAGGGCATTCAAAATTTATTTACCTTAAAATGATGCAGAAACTCTATATCTTTGTTTCTGCATAACTAACTTTAAAGTTAAAAAATAGATAAATACACTGAAGGTAAATTGTCTTAAAATTGTACAAAAATTGTTCTTGTATGGGTGAATATATTGAGATGTCCCCCAAGTGAAAATGATTATTTTTTTATTTTTGGTTGTTTCACTGTTAGTCTAGAATGGGGTTTTTGGGAAGCTACCAGGTCTAGTAATAACATAACATAAGTGGTTCTGCACTAATGCAAGAATTCTAAGAAATCAGACATTTTGAATTTTAGAGCTTCACGGAAGATAGCTTCACGGAGGTTAGGATTTCGTATGTTTTTTTTAAACATCCCTTTGACACCTTAATATTTTTAAAAAATACAATTGTACATACATAAAATATTTATAAAAAAATCTACTTACTGAGATATTACACTTCACGGTGGATAGGTTTTTAGATAGCAAATTAATGAACTCAAACTTTTGAATTATAAAACAGCAACACTCTCATCTGCATATAATTTCTAACTGACCTTCAGGAATCACATGCATCTATAATGTCGTAAACAGAGGTTTTTGCTTATTTAAAATGATTAAAGCGCCATCCGTTGCATACAATTTAAAGAAAAAAACAGATTCACGGAGGATAGAATCAATTTTTGTAACACCTACATAAATGGTTATAAAAATTATTTCTTTTAATTTTTAATAATATTTTATATTTGATTCGATTGCTTTGGATGTTTTTAATTTACTTAGTGAACTGATATTTTTAGTATGCTTTTACTACCTCAGATATTTGAAAACATATGGGTTAACCTAGAAAGAGTAACAGTCACGGAGGATAGGTTTTAGACTTTTAAAACATTGTAAAAAATAATTAATTGCGGTTAAAAATCTGGAACCTGAGCTGTAATATCTACTTAATTATGAAAGATCAAAGCACAATAAAAGTGTAGGTCAAACTAATTTAGTTTTATTAAATATCACGGGGGACATTTCGTGAGATTCACCCGTATATTTTCACCCTGTATTTGTGGTAGGTACATACTGTTTTATCATTATAACGCGTTATAGTTGAAGTCTTCCAATTACTGAATCCTCGTTTTGTGAAGCTAACAAAGCAGTTTGATCTTTGAAGTCGACATGAACATAATAATGCCTTTTTGGAACTATACACATTTTCTAATAAATGCAAAGCTTCTTTACACAGCATAACCGAAAAATCTTTATTTTTAAAAAATATCCCAAGTAACAATTGCATGCAAATTTTGAAAAATTCCCTCTATTCTGTTCTTGAAGATATAAAACTATACTGGATATAAATATAATTATATTTATTCTAAGATTAGTAAATATTGGTACGACTGGCCTATTCACGAAAGTGTCCGACATTTTGGAAGATTGTTTCGTGTTAGTTAATATTTGGTTTGGAATTATGAAAAAGCAGCTAAATTAGTGGAATTTGATAGAATTAACCACCAAATGTATGTGTTGGTAATAATTACTACATAATTATATTTATGTGTGGAGTATTATGTATTGAATTTTAAATGTTGGACTCCAACAGTTGGAGTGATATTAGGTTTTATTAATTTAAATTACAAATTAGAATAAAACAATCGGCAATTATTACCCTACCAATCAGAATAAGTCAAAGAACATAAATCTGAAAAACCAATCATGACAGAAATTTAAAGCCTCTTTGGCACGCACAATATCCGACGTGCGTCTAATGGATCCAGAAGGCGGCGATTATTTTTTTTTCTCCAGTCAAAGCAGCAGAGAAAGTCCTCTCCACTAAATAAATCCTCTTTCAGGGTGCTACGCTTTTCCACGGCGCTGTCAAGTGGCTGAGTCTCAATTTGGTAATCTCTAATGTCAAATATCCACAGGTGACTCTGATGGGAGTTTTAAGGAAAACAGCTGCTTATGTTTAAGGTTAATGGGGACACGTAAAAAAGCTAATTGCTTGTGCTTTTTTACAGCCTTCGCAAAACTGTTTGCTTCCTTTTAATTTACCTTTACTGATAATGAAAATAATTTTGTAAGCAAGTAATAAAATAATATTATTTAACTTAAAAATTTAAAATTATAAATTATAAATTTTGGCTATAAAAAAGTACCACCTAAAGTACCTTTTTTATTAAAATTTCAGTGTCTTATTGGGACAAAAACCTACGATTTATCAAAGTAATGAGATTATTTTTATTTACAGAATAAACATTTTTTACTGTTAATAAAATTCTCATTTACTATAATGAAGCAGCAATGTTGAGCTTTTATAAAAAAAATGTTCATCCAACAAAGTAATATTTGTTATCATATTGTCATGGCAATAAGAAATATTTAATGTTTATATTAAATCTTTGTCGAACTTAAAATGTTTTTGTTAAATCTATAGTTGTGTGTGCATAAAGTAATGCGCAGTTGTAATAGTAAAATTTGTTCATTTTACTATGGCATATTTCTCTTTTTTAAATTACTATCGTTGTAATTCAAATTAATTTTATTTCAGTTAGAAAATCTTTATTAATAGCTTACGTTAAGAACAATAACAAAAATATTTTATTGCTATAAAAAACTGTTTTAATATTTATTATTGTTTTGCAATGGTAACAAAATTTTTTTTTATTTCCCTTAAAAAGAGGGGGAAAGGGCCAGCGCTCTCCTTGGTGAACATAACTTTATAATCCACAGTCTGTGTTATAATCTTATTGATTTCACTTGTGCGAGTGAAGTGTGGTAAAATTTAGCATGATAAAAATATCAAAAAGATCACTAAAAAAAATTAAATTACGACGTTTTCCAAAAGAAATATTTACGGTCTATTCTATAAACGAAGCAGACTTGTTGTTTAAAAAGTGAGTTCATATTTTTTTATTTTGTACATCATATAATATGAGTTAATTTTTTTGTTATAATAAATAATTTGTTTTAATGCATTGCAATTATTTAAAAAAAACTACCCAATACCCAAGAGTAGGTTGAAAATGTGACCATTGTTACAATGAAAATTTTATTGAATTAACAATTATTTTTTTGTTAAGTTTACAAAAATTTTATTAATATTAGGTATTAAAAGTTTTATTTTAAACGAAAAGGGATTTGTAAAATTTGCAAAATTTCTATGAATAATACCATTATTGTTTCATTAATACTACAAAACGTTTTTGTAAACGGAATAGAAATGTTTTTTTGGACAAATAATAATAACTATATTTATCAGTGCCTTTCTGCATCTGGAAGAGTGTTATTTTTATAAACATATACTTTATAATTAATGCAATAAATAATTTTTATAAAAATTATCTTTTTGCCGTAACAAAAGCAATTGTTAAAATATTTGTAATAATATACTAGTTTCTATAAATGATTCATTGTTCTAAGATTGCTATACTTATGTTTGCATTCAAATATTTGAAGTTTTTTAACGAAAAAATCTTTCTGAAAAAAATATTAACAGAGCCTGTTATGTGCTTTTCATTCGTACTTCAGAAATCTTCTCACTTTTTTGTTCGCATATTATCTCCATTCAGGAAGGAAGAAAGGACCGGGTTTTCTATGGAATGAATACTCATAGAGCGAGAAAATCTCGCCTGGGAAATTTAAAATGTGAAAATTTCATTTATTTTTGATTTTACAATGAATGTCAAGTTCATTCAAACAGGTGACAAAGCACGACATATGTTGTTCGAATTATATTATCACTCGACTATAGTAGATTTACATTATTATTTTAATTACAAAATTATTCATAAATTTTGGACAAAACGTTGCAACTCTCATAAGACCACTTAAAACTCTTCGCTAAAGCACCAAAAGCACTATAAGGCTGCCTATGGCAAAATCTAATTGAAAATCATTATATCATTACCATATTTAAACCAAATTAATCCAGATATACCTACATAACTAACTATAAGTTCAACAAAGCTTCTGAACATCAGAATTGCCTAAGGCTACAGTATGAAGTATATATACGAGGTGTGTTCAGAAAATATCGGGAATTTTCGTTTTTTGAAACAAATATTTATTTATTCGTCTACATTAATGTTGTCGCCTTCAAAATAGTCCCCATTGGATATTATGCACATGTGCCAGCTCTTCTTCCAATACTCGAAACACTTCTAAAACTCGATCTTTGGGATAGCCTTTAGTTCTTTCAGCGATGCGCTTTTAATGTCATCTATGCTTGCAAAACGACGGCCCTTTAAGGTTCTCTTTATTTTTGGGATTAGGAAAAAGTCAGACAGAGGCATGTCTGGCGAATATGGAGGCTGGGGCATCATTACAGTATTGTTTTTGGCCAAAAATTTTGTTCAAAATTTAACAATTTTATAAAAAATTTTGCTGCCACGCGTTTCATACCCAAAACATTCGAAAAAATTTCATGGGATGAGCCAATCGATATACCAACATCATCAGCGACTTCTCTGATGGTTTATAACCATTTCTTCCACTTTTTCCATGTTTTTATCGGTTGTTAATGTGCTTGTGAGTTCGGGGCGTTCGTCATCTTCAACGTCTTCACGGCCATCTTTGAAACTCTTAAACCACTTGTAAACTCTTGTTTTACTCGTTATAGGCATTTGTTAACATTTTACAGAATTTATTTAATTTTTTAAGCAAAATTGGATACAAATTCTTTGATCCATTTCTTTTAACGAACGAAGAATCGCCGAGCTCATAAAACACGTCTAACCTTAGCGGCTGCCACAGACAAAGTAAACAATGAAAACAGCTAAAGTTTTTTTCATGCTTCGGGGGCATGTATACCAACAAAATAAAGAAAATTTTATGACAACCGGACCCTCTGAACCCGCGAAATTTAACAATTCCCGTTATTTTCACTAATTTGACTAATTATTAGTGATTAGTGATTGCTTTTTATTTAGGTATATGGCCAGGGCCGAGCCGTGCCGGGGGTGCAAGGGGTGCATGGCACCCGGGCGGCACTAACACAGGGCGGCAAAATATCATCAAAAAAATTGTATCATATTATCAAGAATAAAAAAGCCACCTTGCAATATGCAAAAAACTTTTTAAAAATCACTTGCGTTTTATTGATGTCGGCGTTTCAAGGAATCATCGTTTTTATTCTACACATAAAAACAATGCCAAAGTTGTGCTGTCAGGCGGCAATGATAAAAAAAGACATAACCAAACGCGCGATAGCCACAAAAAATGATGATGACAATTTTCTTAGTGTCCGGTTTATAGATTGCCGCCCGCCCGCTTCGCTTTCCGTCCGACCGCTTCGAGTTCGTCGAGTTTCATGTTTTACGGAAGCGGGCTTACGGGAAACCAATCAAATCGCGCGCTGTGTACCACGTAATATTGTTTACAAGCTGAACTGTTAAGTTAAAGCATAATTTCTTCCGATTTGACGGCTGCGTATTTCAGCAATTTTTAGTTTTTCTATTAACGTGAAGCAAATAGGATGCAAACATAGTAATTTCTTTTGTCTTTTAATGCGTTTAAGTTAAATAGTATATTATACTACAAGGGCAGAAAGTGTGAGATTCCTGCACTGCGCGCCATGATGCCCGAGGCGAAGCCGAGGGCATCATGGCGCGCAGTTCAGGGCTCTCACACTTTCTGCCCGTGTAGTGTATACTATTTTTCTTACTACCTCGGCCGAAAATACAACCCGGCCGAAAATACGGGAGAAAATTAAATGTGTATATCGAAACATATTGATGCCTGCCCAAATTTTGAGGTTATATTAGTGTCGTAATCAGAGTTGCATATGTTGAGCACACGACTAAAAAAGTTTTACTCCCGCTATTATAGAGTGTGCGCGTATAGCTTGACCAATGCAAGAAACGTAAACTTTCTGCCGTGGAATCGGGGACGAAACAACGTATTTTCAGTCGAGGTAGTAAGAAAAACTAGTTAATGATTTAAAAGGCATCTTTCCGAATTTATTTGTAGCTTTAAGAATATTTTTGACGATGCCAGTTACTGTTGCCCATGGAGAGCGGTCATTTTCGAAATTAAAACTAATTAAGACCTATTTAAGATCCAATATGAGTCAATTCAGGCTTTTAAATTTAGCAATTATAAGTATTGAAGAAGATATTTCTAACAACTTGGATGTAGGCGACTTGATTAGGGAATTTGCTATTAAAAAAGCGAGAAATGTAAATTTTAGTTTTTTATTTTAGTTTAATTATTTTTGTTTTTTTTTCCTGAATGTATTTTTATTTTATTTTTTTATGTATTTGTTAATAAATACTTTGTTATTTTACTATAAAATTTGTTATATGTTTATTGAGAATGATAAATTATGAACTCCTTCCCTACCGACAACCTAATTTTTTACATTAATGGGGGCGGCAAATTTAATTCTTGCACCCGGGCGGCAGATAGCCTAGGCTCGGCCCTGTATATGGCATTATTTTGATCTAGGGAATTTGTACGGGCATTTCAGGGACAAGTTGTATATTGACATACCTTGTAAGTGTGGCTTTTTGGATGACAAACAACCTGAAACAAAGTACATTAGGTTATTAAAAATCCCTAGAAACTTACTAAAAATAAATATACATGTATACACACTCCCTTTTACTAAATTTAATAACATTTATACATCAAAGCATGATGGATGGCATTGGTGAAAAAAAAAATTAAAAATGTGCAAGATTCTTTTTATTTAAGGATTGATTTATTCTTATTTGTAATTTAGATTAATACTTATTTGAACGATATAGGGAGTTGAATGCAAGAACTAACCTATACTTATATATTATTACTATAATTTAAGAATAAGTATTTTTTGATACAAATCTTTAAATCTTAAAATAAATATAATTATATTCATATCCAGTATAGTTTTATATCTTTAAGAACAATAGAGGAAATTTTCCAAAATTTAGTCTAATCGATTGTTAATCTTAAATTAAGAATAAGATTATTTCATTTAAAGCCTTTTTTAAAATTTAACAGGCAAGAATAAGATTAATATTTAGTATAATGTTAGTTTTAGGTCAATCATCTTGTTTCAACTGTACTTGATTTTAAGCTAAGAAATACAATCTTTTTAATTTAAGGATAGGTTAATATTTAAAAGACATTCAATGCTTTCGTAGCCTAAGCAAATTATACTTAAATTAAGAATTTTTTTTTAAGAATAAATGGTATTCTTACATTTAGAAAACATTGTTTTCCGTGCAGACAGCTTTATTTATAGAAAGAACAATCAAAACAAGAGCCTAAAAATATATTTGAACAAGTAAGTTTCCGATATTAAAAATAGCCAACTATTGAAGCTGATAAGCCATAAATAAAACTTATTGAATGGCCACAAGTTATCTGTTGTCTCTAAACAAAACAACACGTGCAGTACAGCATTATGTTTACCCGTGGGAAGTACATCCCTGATTTCTGTTTAAAGCATATACCTATTGCATATACGAGCCCTAACCACATAATGTTCGGACACTTCATAATTTATACAGAAATTTTTTTCGTGAATACTATCTCAAAATTATTAGAAGTTATGAAAAATTCAGCTTATTTTGGCATATACCCCTCGAAGCGATTTTTATTTATAAAAAGTTTACCTTTTATTTTTAGCTTTTAAAAAAAGGCTAACTTTTTAACTTTTTTTTGCATGAGTAAAAAAAGTTATAAATGGGCCCATTAAAAAGAAAATAAAATATTATACAAACCCTGAAAATTTGGTAAAAATTGTATAAATAATAAGAAAGTTATAGCGATATATATATATCTGCAAAATCTCCCGTTTCCTAAGAAAATTGCAAAAACTCTTTAAAAATAGCATTTTTAAATTACTTATACTTTTTTATAACTTATTTATTTTTTACCAAATTTTCAGGGTTTGTATAATATTTTATGCTCTTTTTAATGGGTCCATTTATAACTTTTTTTACTCATACAAAAAAAAGTTAAAAAGTTAGCCTTTTTTTAAAAGCTAAAAATAAAAGGTAAACTTTTTAAAAATAAAAATCGCTTCGAGGGGTATATGCCAAAATAAGCTGAATTTTTCATAACTTCTAATAATTTTGAGATAGTATTCACGAAAAAAATTTCTGTATAAATTATGAAGTGTCCGAACATTATGTGGTTAGGGCTCGTATATGCATATATTATAATATGTATAAAAAAGAAAGATAAATTTCCATACATTTTTTTCATAAATTAACACTCCCCTAACGAAAAACACTGAAAGGTTCTTTATTACTAAATTACTTTAAATTATTATTTGACACTAAAAAGTAACTCTGTATACAGGGTGTTTCACATTCGTGGTCCATTGTAAGTTTCTGCGGAACGGAAAAAGATATCGATTTGAAATTTGAAATAATAGTTATTTATGTGAGTGATAAAAAATGACTTTAATGCCGAGGTGCATATTAAATTTTATCCGAAATCACATTTAATAATACTAATAATTAATTTTGATGATTAAATCAAATGTCATTTGATGATCAAATCAAAGTGTCTACGTATACTGTTTGTTGCGACGGTCATGATATATTTACCCGCTGCGGCGATTTTTTAATCTAATTCATAAAATTAACTTATTATTTTTATTAAACAACATTTTATGAAAGGGTCTAATCGACCTTTTTTAAAATATTATTTAGTTGCTGCTGAGTAGCAGTAGACACATCTTAAAATGTATAATGGGTTGCATACAATACTTGTATTAAATCGGGTAAAAGCGTTTATTAAATTATTTATTAAAAAAAAGAGTGATTATTGTGAATAATTGCTAGAAACTCGACATATATTAAACTAAAACTCTCTTTAGGTTCATTTAAAAAGTCTTTTGAAAACTTTTCCAAAGCACTTGAAAGATTTGTTTTGGTTCACTTTTATACTTTTATACAGAAGTTTTCAAGTGTTTATTCAGATAACAAACACCTAAAAGAGTTCGCACAGGTTTTTTTTGTTATTTTAATGATTTTAGAATAATTTTTTTGAGCTACAAAATTATAGGAATATGTTTTATTTATATTAGGTAAACTACAGCAATATATTATGTTTTGGTTGAATAAACTTTATAGGAGTCCGTATGTTTATGTTTATTTAATATTAGATTAGATTTATTAAGTAAATATCAAGTTTTTTCCATATTTTAATGAAATGTACTGAAGACCTTAATTAAATATTATTGATAATTTACTTGTTAATTATTATATAATATTGATATAAAAAGATAACTATGCCAAAAATAATATCAGATTCTAAAGTAAAAAAACTTCATTGCGATAAAGTTATGCCAAATGCCTCAATGGCCAGTGGCGGCCCGTCAGGGGAGGCAGGTGAGGCAGTGCCTCATCATAGAGAATTAAAAAATTAAGTATAATTTAAATATTTTACTTTCTACAATATACTATAAATTTTTAATATTTGGATTACATGAATTGTGAAATAGTCAATAAAATTTATTGATTTTATACGTGGAATACCCAGCAACATTTAAATTATTTGAATTTGAAACGACCGCAATTTAAACTAATATTTATAGCTAGATAATTGGCTCAGAAGCATGCCTGAACTAATTTAGACTCGCGATTGGCGTTAGCCTTGTTGTCTCGTTCTATTACAATGCGATATCATAGTTGTCTCCTTCTCTCGTATTAGCATACGCGAGGCAGGCACGCCTACATCCAAGGAAATAGGCAGATGTTGTGGCAACACTGTTAGATAAATTATACTTCACACGGTTTTCAAAATTCAATAATAAATGGTATTATTTTTTTATAATAAATCGATTTAATCGAAATTATATTTCTATTCTAAAATAAACATATTTTAACACTATCGCCATCTTGTAGCCATCACAGTAACCAATAAAATAAATACAGATTCCTTCTTTAGGTTTGTTTTGGTTATAAAATTCTGAACTGTTTAAAGAACAAATCTGTGGTTATTTACGCAATATTTTGTTTATTCTTTTTCTATGAGTTTGTCTATTTTATGATTCTTTTGTAGGTGGTTTATTCTGTGGGTTTAGTTAATTTAACTTGGTGATTTATGTGAATTTAGTCATTATGGATATTACGGTGAGAAATTGTACCTATATTTTTTACTTAGTTTTAAGTATAGGTTGTGAACTGCAGTTTTTTTAAGTTGGGTTTAAAAAAATTTCTTCGCCTTAAAATGAGGGCGAAACCCTGCCTCTGCCTCACCAAAATGAAAGTACATCGCCTTATGGACATTTTTGGAGTAAAAAAGTAACGTTTTTGCTTTTAAAAATATTAAATCACACATTATTTTCAGCTAAGCAGATCAAAAATTCTTAAAATTTTAAAAAACAAAGGGGAAATAAAAATTATTTGCTGTTAGGTTCAACCTTTTCGTGAAAAATTTTTATCACTGACTAATATAGTGCATAAACCTCTATAAAATGCACATTCTAACAAAATTAATCTCAAACTTAATTTAAAATTTCCTGTTAAAATTGTACAGAAACTATTAAAAAATTAATATTTAATTTTTAATTAAACCCACAATGTAATTTAATTCAAGCACACACTTAATTAAAACAAAAGAAAAAATTTAGATGAACCAATTCATCTTTATATATATTTAACAAAGTAATTGATTTCAAAATAAGTGTTTAAGACAGTGATGGATCTACCAATAATTTTATTATCAAGTTAGAAAATATCGTTTTATTATAAATATTATAAGGTATATAGGGTTGGCCTTTTTTTTAATTTTTGAAGCAAAAAATTCGTTGAAAAAATTGTTTAAAAAAAGTGCGCACTCTTGGACCACCTACAAAAAGTGCGCACTCTTATACCACCCTCGCAAAAACACACTTGTTTGCATTTTTTCGGACTAAGTGGTCTATATTTACGTCAAAGAGACGTCACAAGGCTTGAGGAAGCGTTAGTAGACACGAGATGGGCACTAGCAGGTGGGTATGAAATTGTGTTGAAAACGATTAGAGCGACACTGCAATTAAAACGATAGGCCGGCGACCCATTTTCGTCCTTCCGACAGGACGAGCCAGACTGAGTGCAATTTTATAACGTCGACGTCATTAAAATCGTTTAAAAATATGATTTTATGTTTTCTGTTATTCTGTTATTTATTTTAAGTTAAGTCTCAATTTGGTTGAAAACCTTGAGGGGTAAACATTAATTTTTTGGGGAAAATGATTTTTTAATCATAATTTTTTTTCTAAATGTAATACCTTTATTCCTAAAAAAATTCACTTGATTTAAGTATTTCTTTTATATATTAAGATTGTTTCTTGTGTTAGTTAATACGAGGTGTATTCAGAAAATAACGGGAATTGTTAAATTTCGCGGGTTCGGAGGGTCCGGTTGTCATAAAATTGTCTTTATTATGTTGGTATACATGCCCCCGAAGTATGATAAAAACTTTAGCTGTTTTCATTGTTTACTTTGTCTGTGGCAGCCGCTAAGGTTAGACGTGTTTTATGAGCTCGGCAATTTTTCGTTCGTTAAAAGAAATGGATCAAAGAATTTGTATCCAATTTTGCC